GGAGAACTTTGGGATAAATAGATAGATTTCACATTATAATATACACAGTATTTCTATAGATGTGGTATGGATTAAAAAAATGTTAAATATTTGAACAGGCTTAAGAAATAAAAAGCTTGCAACACCGAAATTAAATTTTAGCAGGTGTTTGAAGTTCATTATACTTCACTTCAGAATAATTATATACTGTTAAGTTAAAACAGTCGACAAAAAATAGTCAGAACATTGTGATGGAAATTAATTTCTAGAATGTTTTGGGGTAGAGTACATATGTCCGGAAATAGAGTGAGGATTCAATAAGCTTATAAAGAGAATTCGATTGTAATTTAAATGATAAAAGAATAACCTACAAAATGGTAAGTCACCTCATTAAAGGTTTATACACCGCATCAAAAATAATCTACATCTAAGAATAAATCCGCATTCAACGATCAAAGTTCGCCACCTTTTCCTACCTATACTATTGTGAAATAACCACACCACTAAAAGAAGTAGCGTATGTGGAGGAGTAGCGTAAGAGCAGGAGACATTAACATAGTCTTTAGAATATCAATAACAGTAAATATAAATTACTATATTACTAGACAGGAATATAGTGATGATATAATGATAGTAATGATATATATTTGAGAGATAACAAATATAAAACGAACGTCGCTTTTTTATTCTCTTGCATAGAAAATTGATTTGTTATCGAATAGCTTTCAAACGCTTTCATAAATATTGAATGAATATACACTGTTCCTGGAAACGCGTTGCACCATTTATTAGTTCAGGAACATTTCTCCTTTAATATTTTTCACTATAATTAATGTTAATTTAATATAATCTTAACAATCTAATAACGTCGAAATTGTTTCTTAAATTTATCATAATGATAATCATCTGTGGCACGCTTGACCCCATTTACAACGCCGCCTTGAGAATGCGATTGCTGATGTTGTTGTTGTTGTGCATTTTGGGCTATGTAATCACGTTTGCGACGTTTTTGTTCGCTGTCTTCTATGTTAACTGCATATTTTGCAAAATAATATATAATGATGAATTAAATAATAAAATTAATGATAAACATAGTATATACTATTATATTATATATAATTACATATATATATATGTATAGACTTACATCTATTATGTTGCATAAAGTTTACTGCCATATTTGTCGGCACGAACTGTGATGGGCCATCCTTTTTATTCTTTTGATCCTGCAGTAGTTTTTGTTTGGCCTCCTCAGTTGCTTCAATATTTTTAATTTTCGCTTCAATGCCTAGATCGACTTCTGGTATACCATTTAGCATTTGATTGGACAACATTTCCTCAGAACGATTAGAGGAGGAATGACGTAGATGATCGGGTAATGCGAGCAAGGCTGCTTCTTCAGGCGTTAAATACTTATTTGGATCACCTTCTTCATTTTCAGCATTTGTTTTAGCTAAACCTTTCCTTTTTTGCAATTCTTGTTCAATGTATTTCATCATTTCTTCGTCTTCATCACGTTTGTTTGTTTCCGCAGAAAATTGTGTTCCAATACCTACGTCATAGGCATCTTCTGGTTCTTTTAGTTTTCCAGACTTTAGCGCCTGCATATTCACCAACCCCCCAGTTTTAACATTAAACGGATCTTTCTGCAATGTTAGTAAATAACTACTATTAAACAATCCTTTTACAAAATCAAAAACTTACTATGGTGATTTCTTCTTCGGGTGCCAATTTCTTGCCCAACGCCAAGCCTATGACACTTACTCCGTGGGAACGTTGGCGCAACTTTTGACGCTCCTTAATTTCTTCCAAAACAGAGCTAAAAATTGAAAAATTGTATATTTTGGTTTCGAATTGTGAATTTTTCAACATACATATCTTCTTCGGGTTTATCTTCGTCGTCAGAATTCGAAGGTTTCCTTTGTCGCAAATTCTTCCGTGGTTTCGTTTTAAAAACTACTTTCCTACTATCTACTTCAACATCCGACTTTTCCTCCACATTTTCCAACTTTACCTCCACCTCTTCGGACATATCTTATTTATAAATTTTAACGAAATATACTCTATTTTTGCTCTCTTACTTTCGACAGCAATTTATGTTGACAAAGTTTATGTTTTGTTTTGTTACCTCATTTGTTTCAATTCCTATTCACAATTGGAAACTCACATCTATTGTGAACAATTCGTACGAAAACACGGGGAATTATATATTTGACAGCTGAAAACATCGACGATCATATAACAGGCACGTTGTGATAACATACATTTTTGTGAGTTCTAAATGAGATTTTATTAATAACACAATTTATTAAAGTTTACGTATTTCAGAATTCCCAATATGAACTTCCCACGCTTTGCTTTGCGTCAATTCACCCGTCACAGTAGCCGTGTACGCATGTATTCGGCCGAAGCAATGCCTGCTGCGGCTGGTGCCCCTGAAAAATTGGTACCCCCGCCTCCAGAGGGTGCTAACAAGCCACCAAACCCAAAATTGGACAGCCTTGTCAACAGTATTGCGGCACTCAACTTACTTGAAGTTTCTGAGCTTAGTGCATTGCTTAAAAAGAAATTAAATTTACCTGAAACATCTTTTATGCCACAATTTGCTGCCGGCCCAGCACGTCCAGCTTCTGCTGAAGAAGATGAGGAAGAATCCGCTCCGAAGAAGGTACAGACCGCCTTCAAAGTGAAATTACTGAAATTCGATGAAAAACAAAAGGTGGCGCTAATCAAAGAGGTAAAGAATCTCTTGGAGGGCATGAATTTGGTACAGGCTAAAAAATTCGTTGAAAGTGCGCCAACTATTGTAAAAGAGGATTTACCCAAAGATGAGGCAGAAAAACTAAAGGAAGCATTAAGCAAAGCTGGCGCTGTCGTTGAAATTGAATAGAATTGATGCATTAGCTGAGTTTTAAATGAACAGTTAGAGGAGCTGTATTATATGTAGCGCCCGTTATTCTTAAATACAAACATAATTTTACACACATTAATTTGTGCCTACAAAAAATAGTTCTTTGTTTTATTTTCAACTTTAATTACCTAAAATATACTAAATATTAATGTAGTATATGCAATACACACTTTCTGTAATACATTTATATCTATTATACATTTATAGTTCGGTAAATAAAAATTAAAAAACATAAATAATGATGACATTTATATTCTAAATTAAAAAACGTACATATATTCACTTAGGTACAACAAATAGTTTCTTCCAAAAACAACCAAACCAACCAGGTGACTTATAACTAACGGTCCAGATATATTTCCTTTAAGTTTATTTTTGAAAAATATGAGGATTACCACCGTAAAAGAATATTTACTTTCGCCGTTCCCTCGTCAGTCGGGTCTAAGTAACCGGAACGGACCCGCATTATTATCCGACCAAGGACTATCAATTCGGCACCATTCTTTGAAATTACGTCAGGAATGTTTTCAGTCGCTACTACAACAACAATATTTACTTTCACGATATTTAAGAATAAATGTTATAATCAATTAGTCATATTTTTCTGATAAAGCAAGTGAATTTAAAACAGTTACCCAAATAACAGTTTAGCATAGCATACATTGTAGCTAACATGAATCTAGGCATAAGCTAAAAGATAAATACATTAAATTACTTTGTAGTGTATATAGGCAACAACAAAATAAGTGAAAATTTCATCACGATTGTGTTAAAAGCAAAATATCAACAAACATTCGTGTTGTACTATATTAATATTCTGGCCGATCAAACGCGGTCAATTGCTACCATCAACCAACCAATGAAGTAACCGAACTTCCCACAAATTTACTCATGGACACACACACACGCTACAGAACGTGATCAATTGTAATTAGCACCTTTGCGACAGCAGCAAAAGAAGTTTGGATGCCATTACTCAGTGCATCGAAAAATTCTTGCAGACACATCATATCTGCTACATCAATGCTGGAGTAGACATTTGCTTTCGAGAATTCTTGCAGAACACACATTCGGTTTAGCCCTTAGCTCGGCGCTCGTTAGTGATTTTGTGGCTAAGAAATAATAAGTGCACAAAAGAATATACTATTGAAAAAATTATTATAATTTAAAGAACTGTGTAAAAGATATACCAAATCTAAGTGAAGCAACGATTATTCATAATAAAACTTTTAATATATTATCCATACATATATTTGAAAAATGACGCTCGTCTCTGTAATCGCCGGTGTGATAACGCTGGGTATTATCGGTTATGTTATGTGTAAGGATATTGATGAGTATCCTAGAGTATTATCATTTCAAAATTCATTAGAGACACCTGTCGAAACATTGATGTCCACCAATGAAATACTTCAAAATCATTCACATTCGAGAACTCCTAGATGTGAGTATGTGTACGCGAGTGTTAACTAATACCATTCGATTCCAGAACCAGGTCACGCAAATACAAATACATACACAAATTCATTTGCATAGATATAAAATTTACATTATTATATTATATAATTTACAAGCGGTGTATTCATCAGCATCATCATCCAGTGTACAATTAATATAAATGCATTTACATACATACATCTACGAGTACATAACATATCTTCGTATAATTTCAAAAAGCTCTTACCAAAACTGTTGTCAGTTGAACATTACCTACTCTTGTTGTCATTATTCCATTTCCGGTCATTCCATGTTGCTGTACATATGAGAGACTTATGAATGTATACATAAATTATGCGCAATCCATCCAGAAGTGTTAACTACATACCACAAGTGTGCCCTAATTTTACTTTTTTTAGATCAGCATGTATTTATAATAATTATCATCCCATGAAATAACAGTTATATAAGCAAACAAATACGTGCATACGCAGAGTAAAAAAATAGCAGTTTTATACTGTACAACAGTTTCTACAACATAAAAGCGAAATGTTTCCTATCACGTACTATTATTAAAAGCCAAAGCACATGTATGTATGCACCAATATTATGATGAGATCAGGAAATAGTTTTCAGTTATTTGGTAATTTTGGCAAGAAACAATGTTATGGCATACTTTTAGGAACTTTTATTTAAATTTTGATAAAACCCGTTAATACTCGTTCTCATAACTTAGTTTATGGTAGCTTATAACTAACTACAGTTATAGGTTAAAATTTGTTCTAAATCTGTTTTAAAACTCCTCATTTATTGTTAAGATATCAACAGAAAAGTTAGTACTCACAGCCATAATTCAAATTCTTAAATATGCCCATGTCGCTTTACTATTTCAATCACCCGCAATCACTGTTTAATCCGATTTCATTACACCTACTTCGTTCCAAATCTTTTCCAAACAGGGTTTCCCTTCTATACAATTGGACGCTTTCCCAATGATGTATGCATGGGCGCCAATCAGCTGGCTGGCACTTGTGTGGTGCGTGGCGAATGCAGTGATAACGGTGGTGTGGCGGCTGGCACTTGCAGCACCATTACAACACAGGCTGTGTGTTGCATATGTAAGTAGCTTAAGACATAAAAGCCAAACGAATAATAATTAGCAAATTCAAATGCAATATGTAGATCAACTGGGTTGCGGCTCCTCAACAAGTTACAATAATACATATTTCTACAACTCCGGCTACCCAGGCACTTATGCCGGTGGCGGACGGTAAGGCTTCTTATTCTTTCAAGCTCAATGATAACAAAATTATCTTTCATACACTATTTTACAGTTGCACAATTGTTGTCTCGAAATGCGATAGTAACATCTGTCAGCTGCGCATTGACTTCCTATCGCTGTCGATCGCGCCGCCGAACGGTGATGGTCTTTGTGTAACCGACACTCTAACTATAACCGGTGGATCGAGGGTGCCCACAATTTGTGGTGAGAATAGTGGCCAACATGTGTATGTGGATTTCAGTGGCGACTCGCCGATTACTATTTCTGTCGCCACATCCGATGATTACACGTTCAATCGCCAATGGCAATTTCAAATCGCACAACTTGCCTGCGCATCTGCCACCCAAGCACCGTCTGGCTGTTTGCAATACTACATGGATTCTAGTGGAACAGTGTCAAGCTTCAATTACGACTCAGCTGCCAACTCGCTCGCGAATTCAATTGGTGTACCAGGCACACGGCAAATCGCCAATCAGCAGTATGGCATTTGTGTGCGCATGGGTGCAGGCATTTGTTCAATTACGTGGAGTCAAGTGAGTTCCGATGCATATTCGTTTACGTTAACCAATGATGTGGCCGTTATTGATCCATCGCTGCTTGGCACATCAACGGTGCAAAGTCAAGACTGTACAACTGATTTCATTATCATACCGAACCCGACACAAGGCGGTATATCATTGTCTAGCGATCGTTTCTGTGGACTCGGGTTGGTGAGTACAACCAGTGCGACGAAACCTTTTGTGCTTTACTCGGTGACGAACGCAAATGAGGATTTGGATATGTCGAATCGAGGCTTTCGTTTGTCGTACTCTCAAAACTCGTGCCCTGTAGTTTAGCGCCGATGAAGACTACTTACTAAACTTAGGGCTAACTTAGGAATATCTACGAGAATAAATGTGTGATTTATAATTCAGTGTTCTATCATTCGTGTCCTTTTTGTTTGTTACATTTATTTTTAAACTATGTATTTCTGTACAATTCTGATTTTTTAAAGCTTCGTACATAGTAAGGCAACAACAAAAGAGTTTAACTTAACAAAGCCTTATACATTTTGCTAACTTTTTTAACATATTTTAACTGGTCAAATTTCGAATATTTTTTATTTCTAATTCTAATTGTTGAATCTGAAAGAAAGCAGTTTTAATAGACATTCACAGAGAAATGCTGACGCACATAAATACCTTTTGGTTGTGACGTTTTTGGACTTGTTCACTAGCCGAGCGCAGGAAGCCTTCGTCATTGATTCTCATGCGGTAGCGTTCCAGTTCTGCTTGCAGATGATCCAATTTCTTTTGATTCACTTCATGAACGGGTTTAACCACTTTTCGTGTTTGCTCATATATTCTATTTACTTGCAAACCTAAAAGCAACGCAATTAATGAATACAGAATTAGTATTTGCGATGAAGAAATTTTATATCGAAATTAACTACCGAAAGAACAGTGATGTCCCGCTGTGGAGAAGAACTGAAAAGCCTTCTTGCGTAGCTTCAGTTCATTCGGTGTTAATAGTTCCACAAACACATCTGTGGTTAGTGTTAGTGCGCTTATTGGCTTCAAATGCAAATCAAGCTCACCAAGAGTCTTTGGATCAGGGGCGAATATAAACAGACCCGGTTCATGCTTTTTCGATATTTTGTTTTGGCTCTTTAGCTGTCGCACGGCTTGACAGATTGTCAATATCATCTCAATTTCCGCCTCAACATCAGCATTGGAATACCTACTCAAGTGCAGGTGTATGCCCCGTGGCAGATATTTCAACAACTCCTCGACAATGAATGGCGTAAATATTGACATTGCTTGAAGACCCCAACTTAGACATGTCGCTAATGTGGCACAACTAATGTAACCATTTGCCGTACCTTCATTAATCGCTGGTTTTGTGGTTTCCTGCAAATCAAAAAAGTTTATTAGACCGAAAATGCATGTAAATTCATTCCATCGATTCGAAACGCATGCGCACCAGATATACGTCGCAGAGGTTATTATAAAAGAATTGTTTAAGCGCAGATGTGGCCAAGTGGAAGTCATGTTTCTCGATACTTTGACTAACTGTTGTTAAAGTGTCCGCCAAACGACTGAGTATCCAACGGTCCCATTTGCTTAGTGGGCAATTTCCCATGGTCTCGATACCCGTAAGAGATAAATTCAGCTTTTCAGCCGCACCAATGGTGTATCTAGTTGCCTGCCAGATTTTATTGAGAAATAGTTTATTGGTATAACACTCGGCCACATCGAAGTTAACAAAATGATTTTTTATATTGTGACTGCATAGAGTGAAACGCAAGGCATCTGTACCGCATTGTTGTATGCCTTGTGGAAACATTTTTTGCAACCCTCTAAGGGATTTCTTCAATTCAACTTGACTTAGTAAACCCGCATCATAAGAAGCCTGTATCTCTTTTTGCAGCTCCTGTAATTAAAATTAAAGTAGTATAAATAAGAATATAAAATCTGTTTAATGGTAAGTACCTCTAAACTGGCACCTTGTACAACTTGATTTGGCGTTACTGCATTACCCAGACTTTTCGACATTTTCCGGCCATGCGCATCGCACACAATACCATTTAACAACACTTTCTTAAATGGCGCCTCACCTGTTAGCTTTACTCCCATCATTACCATTCGCGCCACCCAGAAGAAAAGAATATCATGACCTGTTGCCATCAAGTCCAATGGGTAGCGACTTTTATACTCCGACGAAGGCCAATTGGATACAGAGAAGGGCAGCAGTGATGAGGAAAACCATGTATCCAATACATCCGGATCTCGTTCTACACTGCGAAGTTCTGCTTTTAATTTCGTTTTAGCTAGTTTTGTAGCTTCTTCTGTACTCAGTGCAGCTATCCAACAAGTGTTGCCCTCAATGTCTGTAGCAAAGTAAGCGGGAATTTGATGTCCCCACCACAATTGGCGAGAAATACACCAATCACGACATGCTTCAAGCCATCGATACCAATCAATCTCGAAGTTTTCAGGTTGAATTTTCAATCGACCACTTCGTACTTCGGAGATAGCAGCATCCGCCAAGGGTTTACAATGCAAAAACCACTGCGGTCGCAACATGTACTCGACTACATCTTTTGAACGCGAGCAGATGGGCAATATCATGGCATGTGGTTTGGCAGTCCCCAGCAGTTGAAGGTTTGAGAGTTCATCCAAAACGCGCTCGCGTGCTACGAATCTAGGCAAACCCTTAAATACCTCAAATTTATCTGTAATGGTGCCTTGTTCTGTGAATACTTGTATGGGTTCCAGAAGATGTAGTTCAGCTATTTCATAATCATTACGATCGTGAGCGGGAGTGATTTTGACGGCACCAGTGCCAAAGTTCTGGTCTACTTTGACATCAAAAATTAAAGGAATCTGTTCGTTGCGAAAAGGATGGTTGAGAAAAACTTGTTCTTGATTGCGATATTTTTCATATCTTGGATCTTGTGGGTGTGCAGCCACTGCAACATCGCCCAGCACAGTTTCTGGCCGCGTTGTCGAAACGGTTATTTCATCATTTGAATTGCATATACGATATTTAATATCGTACAATCTTCCAAATTCCACACTGGCTTTATGACCTGGCACAGTTAGTGCAGTGGGTCCACTGATTTCTAATAAGTCCACTTCGATGTCAGAGATAGCAGACTCCAGCGCACAAGACCAATTGACCAGTGATTTGCGTCGCTGAATGAGACCTTCATCGAACAGACGAATGAACGCTGCATTGACAGCTCGTGATTGTTTCTGCAATCGTAAATAATAAACATTTTAAAATTTCTATTTACAATTGGAAAATACCTCATCCATTGTAAAATATTCACTATCCCATTCGAGCGTGCACCCAAGTTTTCGAAGATCTTCTATGATCCTATCACCTTTTTTTCGTTTCCATTTCCATACCTCTAACAAAAATGGAGTGCGCCCGAGTTGATGTCGCGTAATGCCACGTTCCTTAAACAAATTTTTTTCCACAATCACTTGAGTAGCAATGCCCGCATGATCTGTGCCCGGGATCCATTCAACTTCATATCCCAACAGCCGTTGTTGACGGCATATAACGTCTTGTAAAGTCGCATTCAATGCATGCCCTAAGTGTAGATTTCCTGTTACATTCGGTGGAGGAAGTAGCATCCGATATGAACCATGTTTACTACCACAATGTTTTGGTGTTTTTTGAAATACATATTTGTCTTTTTCCACAGATTCAGGATTATACCCTGTTGCTAACGGCGGAAGCGCTAGAACCAATCATTACTTTTTAAATTTAAATTGTCAATGAAAACTTATATGACAGTACCTCCAAATGTGTGTTTCTGATAAAATGAAAACTTATTTTCATATCTGCTGCTCAAAAAATGCAATCCTTTATTTGTAACACGTGAAATTTTTATTTTTGATTGCATTTTACATTTATAAATGTATATTGTGAAAAAATAAGAAAAAAGTCTTCAATTACATATGTCTAAAAACAGCTGTTAAGTAGGGTGATGCATACTCTACGAAAGCGTTGTAAAGTTAACATGAGATCTATATATATATCTTCAAGATATTAATTTAATTTCAAGACAACTATATTAAATACAAAATACATTAAATAGTTATTATGGTAATGAATTAGTCGCCAAATTATATATATAAAAATTAGGTACAATTCACAATGAATTAAGCACAATTGGCGAAATCATTGCATAACTCATTCGCAAAAGTGGCAACACAATTTTGGGTAAATGTCTGTAGTAAAGAAACAAAGAGAAATATTGAAGAGGTAAAGAATAAAGCAAAAGTGTACAATACGAGATCATAACATAACTTGCTGTTCCAATTATAATTGTGTTTTCGGAAGAAAAAAAATTGAGCATCCTAGGATTTATTGAAGATATTTTCTAATAAAAGCTTGACAACCATTGTGCGCAGTAAATTTTCCAAAAGACGCAGGAAGAAACTAAAAATATTTATACATTCAGAATTCCATGGTAAGTGGTCACATGTAGCAAATTACATGATTTAATTCGCGTTTTTCTAGTACTCTTTCAAATTTATTAATGAAATTAACTTAAAATTGAGAAATTTGAAAACATTCGTAAAAGTTTTCATAACTATAAGCAGAACTTAAGTTGCTGTGAAGAAAATGTTGTCCGAGAAAACCAGTAATCGAATCTCGAATTAGGTCACTATGTCAAGCTGGTGGCGTAAGTCGGCGTGATTGTTGTTTTTGCTAACGTTCTTCTTTACCTTGTTTCGCCTACCATCTACGTAGAAGTTATTGTTGTTTTCTTGGTAAAATGTGTAAAAGTTGCGTTTAGAATAGTTAGTATTGATAGTTCTGTATTTGTTTCCAGGATATGTATAAGATAATAGCTATACTAAAGAATTGAATATACATATTTAATGGTACATAAAGAAAAATTGTATTCCTTTTTTCAAATTGTTAATATAACAAATGTGTAAAAGAGAAATTGATTCTTGGTAATCTCGGTTTAGTTCCGGTTACTTCAATTATTTACGATTTCGTTATTTTTTATGCAGTTAATCTTACAGTGCCAGTTTTCAAGCTAAGTGCCGGCATTCTAATTTATTGCTTGAACTTTTAAGAGAAAAAGTGATAAAATGTTCCCCTTTGTGCTTCTGCAAAAATTATTTAGTTATAAAGCTACTAAACGAATTAAAGGTAAATCTATAGTTTAGGTCCCCCAACTAAGGAGGCCTCAAAAATGAAATTTTTTTCAATCGTCTTATTTTGACGCGAATATTACAAATTCGTGAGCGGAAAGTGAATTTTTTCAATACTTTATGTATATATTTACAAATATATTTAACGCACTTTGCACATATTTTTCAAGTCACTTAGTTGTTTTTGTTGTAGCGGCAAAATTCTGCAGAATTCAGATCACATAGCTGTAATTACTAGTTCAGCGAGTTTTTTCTTGACGAGAGAGCGAGACATTTTCTTGTGAAAAAAAATACTGAAGAAATGTAACAGTCACAATTTCTTTTGCGCCGCGATCTGATGGTACGGAGGAATATCGGAGATCGTCGAACTCCCTTCCGCACTGGCGGCCTTCGGCCGCGTTTCAAAAACATAACCCTGGCCGGTCCAAAACCGGGGTGTTCATAATTCAATCACGTCAAACTTAATTCCCTGGACGGTCCAACACTGGGGTGTTCATAGTTCCTTTGCACCAAACTCCTTTCAGCAGCGGAAAAAATAAAAGAATTAATTTTAATGTATCACAATTTTTTATTTTTAATGCATATGTATTAAAAAAATGTTAAAAAATATAGATTTATTGAAAAAATTCACTTTCCGCACTCGGATTTGTAATATTCGCGTCAAAATAAGACGAATTAAAAAAATTCATTTTTGAGGCCTCCTTAGTTGGGGGACCTTAACTATACATTTACCGAATTAAATTTTGAAACATATATGAAATCCGGTAACGTTTGTTATTACAGCAAGTGATTCTGTTGGAGAACTTGCCTGATTCTAACCATTTAATATAATAACTATCCCTATGATGTACTATACAGCGGAGTTTCTGATTTTCTGGCTAAACCAAAAGAGTCATTTAAATATGTACATATACGCATGCACACATACAAACATATGTGCATGATAATATCAGAAGTGTTCCTTCGAAATGTTGATGGAGCAATTCAAATACACATGATACAGGTTTGTATAAAGTTAGTTGATAACCAGCACACGAACCGCCGAGTAAATTGTCAACCAGACACGCGAACTGTCCAATCTATATTCCGTGTCATTAGGTTGGTAGTTTACTGGATTACTGTGCTAAGAGATCGAAGAGAGGCAGTAAACATTTGCTATTTTAAGTGGGAGGATTGGATATTGGTGATGCAATGACAGGGATGTACAAAAGAGCGCAGTCAAAGAGAATACCTGTAACCGGGAGTACGAACTAGTTACATGGAGTTGTTTTTTCACTAATTGTAATTTTGATACTTTTTTGAGTAGAAATTCCATTTGAATACATACATACATGCATATGTAAGTTTACATTTTGGTGTAGAGCTTTGAAGATGTTAGGAGAAGCTTGCATATATTGGCGGAAACTGCAAAATATATACATACTATGTATAAGTGTACTATGTGGTACGAGAAAGTGAGAGAAAGGGAAATTTTTCTTTTAGCTACGAAAGCTATTAAAAATAAAGAAATCCGATATGCACTTGAACATAAGAACTTTTGCTTAAAGAGTTCTTTGTTTGTTAATTAGCATTCGCACATTACTTGAGAAAAAATATTATGGAGCGAATGAGCCTTGATTTTTCGATTTCGGATGGTACAGCACCTAGTTATGTTGGTGTAGGTACAAGATATTCTTCGAATGTTACACTTTAATGTTGCATTGATTTTAATAAAGACTAATTGTGTCGTCACAAAACCATTATTGGTTTTGCATAAACTAACCCTACTCTTCCTTTATGAAGCTTCTTCAAATTTCAAAGCAAATTGTAATTTATGATGTATATATAGAACTCTTAGTCTCAGTGCAATCTTCACACTAGTTCTATACCATTTTCAACACCATATCTATTATTTTCATTAATTATACATACCTATATTTCTTGGCATTAATAAATATTTACTATGTAATAATACGCACATAAATAAATATTTGGTGCTTTTTCAGATTTGTTGTTCTTACTCTATTTAATGGCTTCAAATATCGAAATGTATAAGTATGCATGTATGTATTGAATTACTGGCCTTATTTCGAGTGAGAACGTTGGATTATTCGATTACATTAGGTTTATATACATATGTATGTATATGAATATGGTATTACAAACATACCATACCATTTTAAAAAAGCCAAAAATCTAGCATAGGTGTTAACGGTAAATATATATATACCTATATAAATAGGCTGATACACACATATTAATAGAAATAAGCTTATATACTCGTACAACGTACAGGCTATTATTGCACATGCTTTAAGTAAAAAGATAATAAAACTTTTAGTTTATTAAGTCAATTCTCAGCTCACATCAGCCTAGGCACTACTTATATACATACATATAAGTGTGTCTACACACGTGTGTGCAACGCTTGGCAGCCACACTCATTTACAACTCTCTCATGATTATTCAATGTTTTCCTGCCGGTGAGATTGAATTGGTAAGCAACAACGCATTTGATATTAGGCTAACAAAGCGTCTACGTAGCGCTACTCTAGAAGCTAACTAATGTCAAACACATGTTTCCACATACATATGTACAATATACCTAGCGCTGTATATAAGTAGATTTACTCAAAAATACAATTCAAGTATATACGCACGTGTGCAGGTTCTTTTGAAATACTCTAACCGAGTTTTGAAAAGCCAGTAAAAGAGCATTCGCATGGAGCAGAGTGGCTGTGTGCAGCGTACTACACTTGACTTGTATTGTTTTCGTTCACTTCAACCCGTTGGGTACTCCAGTTGGGAATACATGCGCACATATGTACATTGTACATGCCAGCTTCAGTTTTTATTATTCATATTCTAGCTCATTTGCATTGCCATCTCCGTATTACAATGAAAAGTGAATTTATACTGCTATCACTGGGTCAGGGGTTACTCATACATACATACATATATACTTATGTACGTACAACACATATATGTAGATGTTTGGATATATTTACATATCTGTATGTATGTACAAATGAATGTAGGCGTATTGTTATACCCACAAGGCCAGTAGAAAATCATTTTTTTTTGTACATTTTTATAGAGTAAACATGTATGTATGTAGATATGTGTGCATATAGTATGTAGGCATTTAAGGTAATATACATTTACACATACAATACTGCCAATGATTTCAATTATTATTTTCATGCAAAAACAAAACTTTGGCATTTCGGTTTGCGCCTCCCACACTGATAGGTAGTTTATCCCAGCTTTTGGCTTGCGGAAAAGCGTACACACAGTCGCGCATGCACACATTAATACCTACAAATGTATATAATTTCAGGCATTGCGACACCCATATATTACAGCTAACAATGCCGCCTATACGACCAGAGACTTGCCGATTATGAGTTACCCGCACTATGAGTTTACTCTCCCACTATGTAGTGGCCAGAAAATTGTCGTGAAAATGAGTAGCGCGCTGCTCCAATGTACAAATGTATGTGCGCATGTAGGTACGAGTTGGATTTTCGGCGAGAGCAAACCACAAAAAAAGGTTGTTCTTTACCGTGAGCAATATTGTTTGAGAATTGCCTTGCTTACTTGACTCTCTGCACCGCTATTCGACACAGGAGCATTAAGTCATACAAGCATGCACACAAGTGTACATGTGAAAGCTAGAAATAGAAATTTTCACTGTCTGTTAACTGCCTCAACGCCGCCAACTCTCACGGCAGGTTAGTTCGCTTGGTTGCTGGCTGCGTGTATGCTCTCACCCGATTGAGTCGTTGTTCTACTGTCGATTGCAACACTTCTGTGCCAGTTTGTTGTTAGTTATTATTTTGCCTTAGCTTTAGTAGCCAAAAGTAATATATACAACATATATAAAAAAATATACAAAATACCAAATAAAAAGTGAAATAAGAAAAGTACGGAAATACAAAATGTGGCAAAGAAAATCACATTTATTACATACGATTATTTTTGTTTTGCAATTCAACAGTCAAATTGTGACCGTTAAAGATAACAATAACAACAAGCAAAACTCAATCGAAAGAAATTAACTGAATTGTTGTAAGAATCGCATAGTTTTTGCGCGAATTGTGTCAAATTTCAAAAAAAAAAAATAATCCGTTCCTCATATATTGTGTATGTGACAGCGCAGTGTGCTAATGGGATTTTGTGTATACTGATTAGTAGTGTATATCAAGAGGACAAGAGCATGCTTACATATATACATGTGCACGCGAGGGAGGAGTTTTGGCAGGATGAAAGATGTTCATACATGCCTATATTGCGTGCCAAAGGAAAATGTATCCTTCAGATTTTTTTCTCTTTTTTGGCAAAACCGAATAATAACTGTTAATGGTCCTACAAAAGCGCAAGAGTTCCATACAACTTTCTAAGTAAATACATTGTGTGCCTCTGACGCGTAGTTCTAATAGTTTCCCCTTAAGAATAAAGTTATGAAATTCATTTGACGAAATTTCGCATGCTATGCAAATTGAAAACCTCGTTTTTTTCTGCCTCCTTTTTTCATACTCATACACAAGTAGATACAAATTCTGTTAGGCGTCTGCGCCAAGGCGTACTTGATTGTCAATACTTGGCAATTCCCATAGATGAACTTAGTATATGGTTAATACATACATATACATTTACAAATGTATGCTCATATTAGGGCAAATGTATCTGCAATTGCAACTGCACCTTTTTATGGACGTCGCAAGCACCTGGAACAAGTGCATCTCCATATTCCTATTGCCCACATACTGAATCTACTACGTTGTTGTTATTGTTATTATTGCACTCTTATTAAATGACAAATACTCGAAATAATCAAAACTATTAAACTAATCAAATATTTCTGTTCCATGCACAAATTACAATAATAATAAACACGAACTTTAAAAATTGAAATTGAATTGAAGCAGCAAGGCGCTCCGCTTTTATAACGAAACAAAGTGAGATTCAGTGGTTTCGTCCGTTTCGCGTGTGTGACACTGTGCTTTTAGCCAACTTTTTGGTCACCAGGCGATCGACGTCTATCTTACGGATACATTTCACAAGGTACTATAAAATGTATTTAATTTGGGACACACACACATACAAACACATGCATATGCACTTGTAAATCCGCATGCATTAGTGCATTTAATTTCCATTTCACATAAATATCTAAATTTTTTCGCTATACTTTAAAGGAAAACCTTGCTTCTACATACGTACGCACATAATTATATATAAAGGCATGATACACATGTTCACATGCACATACACATGCATATATGCACTACACGTATAATAAAGTACAAAAAGTTAACAAAACGAAATGCATTAAATACGTGTACTAAAGTACAAATCTACATACAGACATATGCATGAAAAAATGCTCGGCCAACGATCGCTCGAGCCCCATCGATCGTCACATGTGTGAAATGCGCTCGAGTTCTAAGCATGTGTTGCCTTTATGTGCGTGCGTGTATGTGTGTGTTTTTTTGTGCATTTAAATACACATCGTGAGTCTTGAAGATCTGTCCGTGGGGTGTACGTGTAAAGTATGTACTAAAGTTTTATAAATAAATTGTCATTTTCGAGATAATTCATTTTTTATGTTCGTCGCATTTAAAAAGCATCCACTGAGTGAGTTAGTGTGTTCCTACTACGATTGCGGTGACGAAAAGGAAGCAACAATGGCGTACACATGCATTTATAATCATATATGTATGTATATAAATACTACGGCTGTCCGAAAGAGCCTTTTGGAGATTGTTATCCTCTTAATGCATTCTTGATTCTTAATAAATAAATAAATATTTGTGAGCTTAGAGCGTGGTCAGCTGATTCAGCCTCACTTTCTCTATGTTTACTTATTTACACAGACCTTGCGTGGCCTTAACGTAGCTCTTTATTTTGGTTAAACGATTTGTGGCGCTTTATTGAATTGCTGCTTGTTGCTTTTTTTGTTGACAGTAGACAGTCTAAACCAAACGGCTAATAAAGACAGATCGATTTCGTTTGAAATTCTAAGTCATATCTCAGACTGCTAGTTGCTCGAATACTCCTGCTAATCTTAATAGCCTGAATAATTGTTAGTAAATGCAATTAGTGATTGTTTTACCGTTCGCAACGATGCGTATTATCTGGATATTATTAAATTAAAGTTTAATAATGGCCGCTTAAAGGGCTTACTTATTGGTGGTTACACTCCTATATCTGTCGCCTGCTTATAAAATGTCAATCTCTAAAAGTATGTATGTTTCAATTTAATTTAAATATATCGAATATATATATATATGTAAGAATATTGTGCGCAAATTTGAAGTGGATTTGGTAAATAGTTTCGGAGATATGAGCATATTTGTATGAGTTTTTTAACTTAGTGTAATTGGCTTCTAAAACTTCAAGCTCGTTTTTCTCGATGAGCGACGTGCCTTACAACTTGTTTCAACGGAAAATAATTGTGAAACTATGCAATGAAGGGAAAAGTGTGAAGGAAATATCCAACGGCATGTACTGCTCTAAAAACATGATATTTAATGCCCTTCACCACGTGAAAACCACTTGAATATGGAATTGAATCATGCAATTACAAGTCCTATATGTTCATTCCGATGTATCAATTAAAAGAAAATGCTTTTGACATGTTTTCGTGCGATATTTTACTTTTTAAACAAATTTACGGTGAGTGTCCTTATTATTTCTGCCAGCTCAAAACGCTGTCAACTTAAATAAAATAGCATTTACACCGATATTTTAGAAATAATTAAAGGAACACGAAATAAATATAAAGTACCGTTATCAAGCATCGTTGCATAATGACTATTGATTCAAACCTTTGTTGATTAAAAGTTTTTTAGGGTTTTGGAATAAGTCAATATTATTTCTGCCACCAGTGTATTTGTTAGATAATGTTCGAAGGAATAAGATCTTTGGTAATAATTTCGTTTTTTAAGCCGACCTTTTGTTTAGGAAACCGTCATTTTATATAAATCAAAATTTTGACTAGTTCTTCGATCATTACCAGTGTTAGTTTATTGTTATAATCATTTTTCTTTTTTGATTTGAGATAGTTTTAGGCAGAGGTGCCTTACTCAGCGCCAGACACCTTTTTCTGAGAAGGAAAATCGAAAATTTTAGATGACCGTAGTGATATATACGGATTTGAGTCAAAAACCCTTACTCTTACCAACTTTCATCCATGTACAATATTGTTTTTTACTTTCCGCCATATATTTAAGAGAATACAAACTTCTATTGTCTTTACACCTTTTACAAGTATATTCGAACATTTGCGAAATATCTTCGTAAATTTATGAACGTGTTATATGCATACATATATTATGATTTGATGTGGTATCAAAAATTAATAAAAATCGGTTTCCTACCGAATGATTTTTATATTTTGGTTGACCATATCCAAAAGTTCATTAGCAGGCTTACATATATAATATTTTTTGTTAGAATGTGTCGCGTAGCACAATGTGCTTCGGTACAAAACCAGGATGACATCCTTCAAAAACTCCTACTAGACCCCGTATACCAAATACATTGATTATCTTCCCTTCGCTTGACTATATTGTAAATATCGGACAGATCGTAAACTATCTAAAAAAACATTTGATGTGGATATGATTTTGTTGTTTTGATTCAAGGTTGTGTTAAAAAAGCAACAATTTACTATATATTCAAATATACATATGTGTTTATGTAAACGATAATATATAATATATATAGTATCGTTAAACCATTCCACGTAAATTCGTATATAATACAACTTCCCGAACACATTTCGTTTTCTAATGAAGTAGTTTTGTATAAAAGTACTCCATAAAACTAAGGAAGTACTGATAACAAAACGAATGTGCTCATTTTGATTACAACGTATAGCTACTTTTAACAAAATGTAAGAGAAAATGTCGTATGATTTACTCAGGAGTCCTTGTAGCTTGTTATCATGGCCAAAAGGCTTTGAACGACTCGCGCTCTTTATGTCCTAGTAGTAGTTGTGTGGTACTGGTAGCATATGCAGAAGAAAGAGCAGAATTCAGCTGCAAACTCTCTCATTGACTTCATAAGTTGCTCTTTCCCTTAGAAAGAGGAGTTCTAAGAGCAATCGATGAAATGAAAACTTCATTTAATTGTTTTTTTATTTATCCAGGAAAAGTGTGGTATATAGGAGTATTTGTGGTGATTATGTGCGTGTGTTTGTGTGTGTACATTACCTAATCAAATAAAGGGTGTATGCACGCACATAGCAAGCTATAAAATTTAAGCATACCACTAGTGGGACACTAGATTCCTTCTTTATTAAAGAACTCGGTTTGACATTGTATGCGAAGGTTCCAACAATCTTGAATGTTTTATTTTGGCTCGGTTTGTATTTGAAACCTCAACTCTACCACTTCGCGGTTGCCTGACTGTAGGCAACGTTTTACTTTGTATGGGTGTGTGCGTTTTTCAAGAGCGTGCTCAACCGTAAACTAAAAGCAAAAGTTACCAATATTAAGGTTAATGCTGAATGCAAGTTGGCGATAAAAAAAAGCTGTAAAACTCATTTAAATAAAAATCGTTTGAAAGACAATTTACAATAAAAACAAGAAAAAACGTTAATTTCGGTTGCACCTTAGCTATAATACTTTTCGCAAATAAAAAAGTAAAAACTTGATTTTGATCGGACAGTTTGTATGGCAGCTATATGATATAGTGATCCAATATCGGCAGATTCGACAAATGAGTACCTTCTGAGTGAGAAAAAATTTCAGATCGGTAGACTGAATTTCAGATGTGAGAGACTAGTTCGCACTATTGATTATCGATTTATCGAAAAACTTAAATGCGCACACTACCAATAGGTGGTGAATCACCACCACAAATAAGAAGAGAGGCTGCACCGTAACATCAACTTTGTAATCAGTTAGACAGTTAGTTTAGGACTAGTCTACATAAGTGTCGGTGTCGTTTAAAAACAGCAACAAGAGAGCTTGTGGGAATAAAAGCATAAAGACACTGAAAAAAATATGTATTCAAACTTGTCGGACTGTTGCGGGCTATGGTTCCCTAACGAATCGTTTTTGACTCGTTACAGTCAAGTTCGAACTGACCTATACACAGTATTATTCTTGTTTTTACTTAATAAACGATATAGAATGTCGAAATGAAGTGAATCACAGGAGAAATTGGTTTAGTAGTTCAAAAAAACATTTCTTGCACATACCTACCTTGGGTTTATACCATGCCATTTTAAAATGTTTGTGGTAAACTAAATTTGTTTGAAACTAGTTTGAAACTACAATCATTGGAGACAGTACCGGTTCTCAATCCATTCCAATGCTTTGAATTACCTTTTTTAATATCACGACGACCCACTAAGTAGGCATAGTCTCACCCTTCAACACTTGTTCTGGACTGCTGTAAATTGTAAGTTTATTTAAGGGACGGAGACCGCAGCTTTGCCAGCGCAAATGTGAGTATCAACTGACCCACATTTGAATCGTTTTGCAACAGTTTTGAATTAGTTACAAACCCTGTAGTGTGGAATTAGAACTTTAGCGGGTTGCTACCACTTTTTTACTGCAGTATAATAATATTTCAAAGTGAAGATTTTCAAAGTAAATATTATAAAATACAAAATCAAAAATAATCTGTTCGTCGTTATAGAATATTTGGTCAATCCAAAAACTCCTATTTAGAAATGATACTTACCGAACTACTAACATAAATATATGTACATAAGCAGCTATAGATATATAGTGTGTATCTGCATACAGCAATTAGCGGCAATAATATATGTACATATGAACTAACTAACCTTATTTGGTTCGATGTGGCTATTTCTAAAGAATGGAGTGCAATTATTGTTCAGAGCATTTTTCCACGGCTCAATGGTTCTATATACCACGGTTCTTTACGGTTTGTTTTCATTTCGATTGGAGTTACGGCTATTTAGTTTTAAAAACGCACATACAACAATGTGATTTTCATTCTATATATATTTTCTGATCATTAAATATACCAAATACCTAGAGCTCCATACATACTTGTGTATAGACATACCAATGCATAAGTTGCGCACATAAATTTATTCGTACATTTGTTTATGATCATTATGGCCGCTGAAGTTTCACGATTTTCACTTTCATATAGAAAATTACAAGCAAAATCGGCGACACGCATGAAAGAAGCTCGTTAAAAAATATTCACCGAAGCCCAGAATTCAATGCTTTTGTCTATATACCTATATAAAAAAGCTTATATATTTATGTATTGTATGGTGTGTAGAATAGAAGAAAGAGACATCTATGTTTTGTTATTGTGCAATACCAGAATGTTTTGGTTTTCAATTTTTGTAGAATCGCCAAAGGTGAATTTTTAGAATGCAGACAGCCTCATACGTTTTGTAAGTGTATTGGGCATGTTTCAAGCAACAAATACTAAAAATCACTCGCAGAAGTATATAAAACTTTTAAATATGTACATATGTATGTTTATGCATAAATACACAATCATACGTAGTTGTGTACAAGCAATGTCTTGCGACGTATTTTCTTCCGACCATATGTCGCAGCAGGCCAAAAATAACCCATTGGAATATATATTCGTGCACCGAATTTTCCTTCCAAATAATGTCAAAGTGAGAAGTGAGAATCGGTATACAAGAGTTATTTCATCCAAAGATTTTGATTAGCTCGGTTGTCCTTAGGTATTATTGTTTCGTAATTATGAAAAAAACTAACATACACCTATATATGTATATGTATAGTAAGAAGGACGTGTCGTGGAAGTGCTCGCATTTGCAGATCTATGAATTATTATATATAGCGAATTATTCTTTTATAAATGTCATTATTCTTAGCTTTGTTGGCGATTAGCTAAGTAAAATTGTTAAACGAATTTTTTTGGGTTCCTGATGTGACAATTTCTGGTCGACTATAAATGCTAAGCCCTCCTATTTTAATATCACGTGCTATAAATGGGTCGAAAAAATTTCATAACACAAATATATAGAAAACAAAAGCTGTTTATCAGATTTAGGTCACCTTTGTCAGTAGTGGATGAGTGCTCTGCTAGACAAATCATTTTCACTTGATTAGTATTTCGAGTACTTCGAGGCTACATAAGTTTTGACAATCATTTTCACTTAAGTTCTGAAATATTATTTATTTTCTCGATAGAACCATGCAACACTGCTAATATGACATCACACTTAAATTACCTTTTTACAACGACAATGTTTTGGACTTAAAGTATGGTCGTACAAATTTTACATGTCTAATCACGTCCTAAACGAGTGCTGATTCATGTGACCAAGTGTTTTGAATGAGATTAGTCGGAAATATATGGCAAAACATTTTATTGATAAGTTAAGTTTTGCTTAAAGCACTAAAAAAACATAAAAATTTCACGTAAAATGCTCAAAAGTTAAAGTTAGTGCCTCTCAAGCATAATTCGGTTAATCTTTTGTTTTTACAAATCTATCTAGACTTGTGTGTGTATAGTACATAGATATTTGTATATTTTGTAAATGAGAATGTACCTAGACCGGCAAATCATTAGTGTTTTCTGTCACTATGTCCCCTGTTGGCGTGTGAGAATACAGTTCGTGCATACATTTTTTCCGTTTATTTATAGGCTAAAAATGGTTTTCAAAAACAACATACAAAAAATAACATGAAGCAGCAGATAAATCCACATTTTCATGCAAACATGCATGTATATGTATCTACTTATAACAGAAATCAAATCAGCTACGTTTTTAGATCTTTTGTATTTAAGAATCTTCTTAATGTATGCAGAGGTATTTTGTATAATAGAACGTAGTCTTAGATATTTTGTGTAATAATATACAAAAAAAATATATATATAGTATATAGTATATATAATATATATATATCTATATATTCACCTTTTTATGCGTTGTATTTGTTGTAAATAATTATGTGCTCGAGCAGTCACATGCGGCAGAAAATAGCTAGCGCTCTTCACATCTTTTAAGTGATTTGCAGTAACTCGATGATATATAATTGGTAAGATGGCTATTTCATAAATTTGGAGCTTATTAAAGAGGTTTTAGTTAGAATTCCACAGTCCAAAAATTATCTTCACGACCGGTAATTCGGGTTGGCCTGAAGTAGATCATAACCTTCAAATTCGAAAGTTATTTATTATAATGCATTTATAATGTAGAGGATTTATATCAAATATCCATGTAAGCTCACAATTTATCCAACACGCCCTTTTAATTTCACTCTAATTTTTCTCCGTCATATTGAGGCTTTTGACACGTCTACAAGCTACCAAGCTACTGCATATATTCTCTCTGTTAAATACCCTAGTGCACTTTCCTCGCTGCTAATACATACATTTATATACTCCTATTAAAAAATAGTTTTTTGTAATAATACGAAGACAACACTTTTGAAACCCTTATTGAAACGTAATTTTTTTGACACTAACAGAAAATAATAAACGAGCATATTGACTTGTGGAAAATAAAATTTTTTCTGTCATACAACATACAATTGCTAATTTTTTATTTGTGTATTTCAGAATTTGTAATAAAGGAGATCATTGATTCAATTTGGTGTTTTGTGAAAAATAAACTGGCTTTTCATTAACCCAGGACAAATACAAAAAATATTCAAAGGAAAGCGTCAATCGCACTCTCCAGCGTCGAAAAAGCTCAAAGCAGCCATAAGCCTTGGCCCACGTACTTAAAAGAGTATATAGTCGCATAGTCAAATAAATAGCGCAAAATCATTTATTAAAAAAAGCAATTTATAGCGAATAAACTGCGTGTGATTTTACTGGTTGTCGCACTCTAGATATTAGTGTATACTAAAAGTAAAAACCATAAGAGAAAAAAAACAACAAGAAACCACAAGCCATACGTATAAATACATAGGATATTCTGAGCCCAGTGGTAGTGATTAAAAACCGTCAAAATTCTTCCCTTTGCAAATTTTAAAATACAACCACAGCCAATGCACAAGATGGCAGCACCGACCGGAGCAGCGCCGACGGCGGCACTTGAGGCCCCACTGTCCGCCCCAAAGTATGGCACGCTTATACCAAACAGAATTTTCGTTGGCGGCATAAGGTGAGTGTGATACCAACACACACACACACTAATTTTTATTTATATGCATTTTTACTCATAAAATTCATTTTATTATGGCTTTCTCCCATTTTTCACATATATTATGCACTTAATTTGGACCATCGCCCAACAACAAACAATATGCATTAACAAAAAATACCAAAAAATTACTAACAATTAAAAAAATCTTTCAAAAACAGTGGCGACACAACGGAGTCGGATTTGTGCCGTGTCTTTTCCGCTTATGGCAATGTCAAGTCTACCAAGATCATCGTGGATCGTGCTGGAGTCAGCAAGGGTTATGGTTTCGTCACTTTCGAGACAGAACAAGAGGCTCAAAGGCTGCAAACGGATGTAAGTAGTTTTGGCTCGCAATCTGCGTTTAATATTAATAATTATATATGAAAAAAAGATAGAACTTATTTCGTATTTATGGCACATTTACTGCTTTAACATCTTAGTTTTTTTTTGTCATACAGATAAAGAGAAACACTTGCAAAACAAAGTAAATTTTTAAATTAAAATTAACAACCAATTTAAACTACTTTGTGCTGTATTAAAGTATTAAGGATACTTACTAATTGTCAATATAATTATAATTTAGGTTTAAATAGGGTTTATTCTGTTGTTAGTTTCTCGATAGCAAAATTGTCCAAACGTTTTGAAATGATTTACCTATATTAATTGCGTATTTATTTTTTTATGGTTATATACTTTCATCTTATATAGGCATATTCATGATGAAATGATAATAAGGCGCTTCATCTTTGCGTTTGATTGTGGTGATCTAACTTGCCCAATTGTGCAAATCCATTTGACTGTTTGTGCACAAAATTTGTGCAAGGTAAACAAAATGAAACGAAAAGTTAAAAAATAAAGCCTTACTTCGAACAGGTGCGCTTGTGTGTTTGCAATCTGTAAGCGTTGAGCTGCTAAATCGTTGAGTGTGAGCCATTTGATAGACACAAAAGTTGCTCTGAAACGAGAGAAATTCGTAAACGCAAAGAAACCAAATATAAATAGGGTGCTGATGCTGCTGTGGCTCCTTGGCGATCGTAACGTTGCCTCTCGTAGGCGTCTTACGTAATATGTTGCGAAGTGATTTATGAACGATTTTTATCAGTAAAACCGTAACGACTAAATATACATACATACATATACATGTAATATGTAACGGTAATTGCAACACCATTCTGCCTACTACCACAACACTACTATTTAAACATTAAACTACTACTGCTACTGCTCTTCTATGAACTGTGTTCAATGCTCAGGGAAGAACCAAATATATCTAGATAATTTTGTTTGTTGAGTTTGTTTTTGGAATTGACAGTTTTTCTTATTCAATAATTACTGTACTCAAGTTTAAGCTATTTTGAATAAATAATCACCAACGCTGCAGCAGTTTGTTCTATTTAAAAAAAAAAATTAAATAATTAATAAATCAATTTTTAAACATAAAACCTTTTAACTCACAATTTATAAATTTAGTTTGCAAATAAAACTTTGTTCAACATTTTCACATTATAAAAAAAATTTCATGCACATATAGCAATCCAGTTCTGCATTTGCCTGGATATAAATTCAAATTAATATATATACATATATAAAGCGATTTTTCGTACTAAGTAAATTTTAGCAATCCTTAGAGGCAATTTTATAGTCGGATTTTGCAAAATACTACATACATTCTTTGTTTATGATGGCCAAACAATTAGATAGTGCTTCGTTTTTGTTCACTTGTCGTTCCTATTGACGATTGTATTTCTTTAGCAAAAGCAGTTCCTGCTAACAATTTATTGTACAGTTGTTAATAATTTTCAATATTGTTATTATTATTATTATGTTCTATTTGATTTAGTATTCCGACAAATTATGCATTGTGTGTATTATATTTTGAACTGAAAGTTGATTTTGTACAAATTTGTATTTAATTTAAATTATTGCAATTTAGTTTTGCAGTTTTAAATGTGCATAATATTAGACATGTGCAGGGGTGTAAGCCATAAACAGAAGTTTTGCAAATAGTTTGTTTTTTGCTTTAACGCGATATAATTAAAATCCAATTTTTTTTTCTATAATTGTCAGACCTAAAAGTTGACAACAAATTATAAACAGGCAAGTGAATAAAAATTTTACAGTCATTATTAATGTAGTGTGTCTTCTGCCTCCTCCTGCTTTCAATAATGAATATATATACTATGTATAGACAATTAAACAGACAAAAATATTTCAATTAGTCATCAGTAAAGACTTCACAATGATTTTCGAATTCCCATAATTATACATATATGTTGACAAAAAGCCACTTTTTATTTCTTAAATAAATTTGTTTTTAAAACTAAAAACAAGTTGCTTCCCAAAAATATTGAATAAATACACTCAATATTTATTACGAAAGTGCTGCAATCAATGCCTGGTACCGTTAATAATGACTACTGTTGTTGTTTTTTGCTCAAAATAGAACTCACTTTTAAGCCACAATGTATGTGTGTCGGTTTGTAATAACAAAAAGAATTTAGTACAGAATTAATTTAGTAAATAATAATAATTTATGTTTATTATTTTTTTGCTCAAAGATAATAATTTTTTAGTTTTTTAATTGTTTTGATCAAAAACAATGATCATTTATGATTTATTATAAAATTAATTGTTGTCGGTGACGAAAATCGTAAAACTCAATGCATTATCATTATTACGTGATTTTGAAAAAAAAAATTTATAATGATTACAGTCTCTGATCAATACACTATATGTAAATGATATGGTAATTATGAAAGTAAAAGTTCTTTTGAAAATTTGTAAAATCTCGAATACGAATCCAAAATATCCCGACGTATTCAAAAAAAAAATTTACAAGAGGCTCTAAATCTGAAAGCTTCTTACATATCTTTATTAGTAGCATTAACAAAAAATAATTGCATATTGACTACAAAGCTACTTTAATGAAGTATTTGCAATATCTTTCAAAGTCCTGTACATGTATATAAGCGCACAATTAAGTGATCAAAAAAAATTTTGAAGTTAAGCAAAGTTATTTCTTTTTAACACGAAATTAAAATTTTGGAGGCACTAGACGCTAGCAATCAGTTTATGCTCTTTTATTTTTTACTTACTTTTTTCTTCAAAATATAATCAAAATCGGATATATACTTTCTCAACGTCGTAAATATACACATTAAAGGCTAACTGTTGCTGAGGTCTATTGCAAGCGTTTTTTGATTTAATTTTCATGATTTATTTGAAAAGTTGCCTTTTTTGATTAAGGCACACCAACTGTGTGTGTGCGCGTGTATAGTGTAAATTAGCAGGAACTGTCTTTTACATATGCAGTGTCTCCTTCAGCGTTTTTACCGCCTAGTAGTGTGTCTTTAAAGAGTTTATTGTTTCTACTGCTAATTTGTTAAAACTTCAATTGTTTTTTTTCCTATTAAATTGTTTACGTTATTATTTCGTTCATTTTTGATATACATTTATATATGTTTTAGCATATATAATTGTATTTGATTTCATTAACCATAAAATTACTGTTGTCGATTTTTTAATTAATTCTCGTTGTACATTTGCCGAGTTTTTTAAGTGCGTTTTAGATTTATTTATTTGAGTTACATATTGTTGCGTTTGATTTCATTTTGCAGCCAATTGTGCTTGTGCGTTACATAATTTTATTGATTTAATTTAAAACAATAAAATTGAATATATTGGCGCTAAATGAGTATTTATTAAAAAAAAATGTAAACAATTTGAAAATTTGGTTTCATTACTTCACATAATCGACGTTCAAAAATCTGCTGTGTTTTTAAACAAATATTCGTATGTTCGTATTTTCAAATATTGTATTAGTTGTTATATTTTTAAGAGCTTTTCCTATTAATATTTTAGTGATAATTTTTTTTCTTTAGTTTTTTCGTTATTAAAGTCATTAAATTCAAAAACTTAAATTGTTTCAAGAGTTTGTTTGTTAAAGAAGCTAAAGCATTTTTTCTAAAACGTTTTGTATTGAGCTGCCTTGAAATGTTTTCACGTTTAGAAATGCAATTGAATTTTATTTTTTCGTTTTTTCTCTCCTTCTTGTTTCGTTTTTTGCTTTCACCACGTTTTCATATCTACAGGGTGAATGTGTCGTGCTAAGGGATCGAAAACTGAATATAGCTCCAGCTATCAAGAAACAAGTGAGTATTACAAATATTATTATATACTATATTAATTATAACATGCAATAGTGCTTACAACTTTCTTTATTTTGTATGAAATTGAAATTGGAGCAAAACTCATATTTTATAAAATTATTATGTTTCGCCTAAATGTAGGCAAACACTTCATGTAATATAAATAAATGCTCACATAACCTATATTGTGTTTAAGCTTGTAAGCAATATACTTTCGAACGCTAAAAATCACTGCAATTTTTGTTATAGGTTTTTAACTTAACCAAATGCTTTCTAATAAATTTTACCAAATAATAAAATTTTTAGATAATTTCTTATTGAAATAGATTCAAACAACGCTTTCCAAAGTAATCAAATTTATCAAAATACTTTTTTTTTTGTTTGAAAATTAATTACAAACTTCGGTAATTGCAATATTTACTAACTCTTTTATATTACAATAGCAATACATATATTTTTTGTTATAATATTCCAGTCGATCGTTGCAACGAATGGTGCTGTCTACTATACAACAACACCACCGGCCCCAATTAGCAATATGCCCATTGATCAATTCGCCGCCACGGTTTATCCGCCAGGTAACTCGCAATTTATGATATTTAATCACTATAAACTATAAAGATGAGATCAGTTATAATAAGCATAACCTCTTAACAAACAGTTACTGATTTTACAGCAGCTGGCGTGCCAACAATTTACCCACCTTCAATGCAATATCAACCATTTTATCAATACTATAGTGTGCCAATGGTCAGTGCGGCGGTAAGTTAAACATCAATTGTGCATTATTTGAATGTAACGAACTAATATTCTTACCTTAATTCCCCCTAATCGATTTTCGTGCTGCTGTGAATATAAATAAATGAACCGAACTCGAAACAACAGAATGTTCCCACCATTTGGCCACAGAATTATCAAGGTAATTAGAAGGAACCGTTTGCTTTATATGCTTACTTAGATACAATAAATGTATGTGCACATCTATACGAATCAACACCACTTGCCACACCTCTACATTTGTAATTTATACGAGTATATAAGTTGGTTTAAATACAAAAGAATTAAAAGAGTATATTTGGTTGCTTTTAAGAAAATGTTGTTTGCAGACGCTTAACAGTCACATTTTTGTTGTTAGCAATTATTTTCGCATAAAAATTATTTATTATTTTTGGTTTTTATTGTTGTTGTGCATATGAATTGATATATATGTGTACTATGTCGCTTTGATATATACATACATAATAATATACATACATACGTGCTTATGTATAACATTTTTTGTACAATGGTAGCTTAATCTAATTCACTGTTATATCTGTCTGTAAATATATGTATATATATATATATATATATATATATATATGTATATGTATATGTATATAAGAGTGACCAACTTCCAACTTGCTATCTACTTTTTAGGTATTTACCCATGTTAATTTTGAGGGTACTAACGACAGCATCCATACCCACAACTATGATCACACGACTACAATAAACAACAACAACAAGAACAACAGCAACATTGATGCTACTACATTTTATGCGTATAAATATTTGCAATGATGAATATTTAATGTTTTTTGGTGACAACCAAACAAATTCACAAATTGTAAGAGACACAACAACAAAGACACAACTTTATAACAATAGCTTCCTTTACAACTACTACAACTACAACAATATCTACGAGTTCGAAAACCGAGAAATTATGAGAAGAAGAAAATAAATAAAAAAGCGACATAAAACAATAATTTATTTGCGACAAGAAGAAATTGTTCGCTTTTTAAAACACAAAAAAAATTAAGACGGAGAGAGTGCAGAATGTTATACCGTTACACCGATCAATGCATAGATGGTAGGACACTAAAAAGTGCACTAGCAGCGGCAAAAAGGCGATAAGAGTGAAAAATAGTCGATGCGATCAGGTCCAGGCGAGGATGTTTTCTAACCATAGTTAAAGGCTGCTTTAGTCATTAAATAATTCAACGTAAAACATGGACTGAATTCGGGGCCGCCGTTTATTTAGAGAATGATTTAAAATACGCGCACATACACATAAATGCATACATAACAAAACATACACTACTTTAAAGTACCACACAAACTCTTATTTTATTTGTGTACATTAACATGAAAACGTACAGCTTAGACATAGAAAAGTATTGGTAATTGAAAATTATTGAGAGTTGTATGAACAGGAAGGCGAACGTAATAGAACGGCGATGGCAAGAAATACTAAATTTTAAACCCAGTGAAACTAAGTAGTCTTACGTAATGCTACAAATCGTATGTATGTATATGGAAAGATATTTAACTGCTACGTATAGCGCCAGTAATTGTTTATTGTTTTCGAAAACAATGTACGTATATGTTAATATTTTCGAATTTCGAAAGTATACAAATACCAAAACGGTTTTACCGTACCATAACGAATCGTAGTTAGTTATAGAAAGCAGAGAAAGACAAGTTGGCATGTTTGTAGTTTGTAGTAGAAAATATGAAGGAATGGTGAATATATGAATTATTAGAACAAACAAAGAAAACGAAACTTGTTATAATGCGAAGCAACAACAAAAACCTAAATTATAACATAATAAGAAAAAAATATATATTATTTATTGATTTCAATTATTACTATAATAAATATTATACACAACTTATATTATTAATATAATATACTTATATAAAATATATATCTATATATATATATATATATATATATACATTAGACAAATTATATTTAAAGAATTTAAAATAAGATACGACGAATTAAAAACACCGGCTGGGCCTGTGAACCGGCAAAACCAAAAGCTGAACATTTAAAAAATTACAAAATACAGAACACAAAAAAAAATTCAAAATATATATATATATTAGTATAACTTTTATTGGTATAAGACATGAATTATATAGTAGAAGAGTCAGTCTTAAACACAAGCAACACAAAACGATATTGAACTTAAAACAGGATTCGAAACTGTAACAAAAACAAAAATAACTTAGAACATCATAAACTAGTATTTAAAGAAAACAATAAACAAACAAATATTAAATAACTAAAATATTAAAAAAAGATTAGTTCTTCTCGAAAATCTTACATTGTCTTAAGTAATAAATTATAGTATGAGAAAAACAATAAATTCGAAGAAAACTAAGTTATACCGTATTCATACGTATAAGCATATAGGCAAAGAATCTGAGTAGAATTATACACACAATATTACAAAGTAAAAAGAAAAACTAAAACAAATAAATATTAAATTAAAGCAAAAGTACATATACATAAATATACATATACAATACATATTTTAAGTGAGCAAAATACACGTATATAAATATTGATATTGATAATATTATAATTATTAAAATAATATACAACGCATATTCAAATATTGATAGACGATAACCCATGAATGTAGAATGATAAACAAGTACATACTAAAAATATTGGAAAAAAAATGCAAATAAAAATAAATGTAAAAGCAAATGTAGGTATAAACGCCACAACAAACAAACAAAATAAGCAATATAAGCATATTGGATGTGAAATAATAAATAACAAAAGCTAATTGAAAATGCAATAATCGATTAAAATTCTATTGTTAAGCATTTAAAAAAATAATATTAATAACAGAATTGTGTAGCAACTAATTGAGTAGTTCGGTCGCCGATAACTCATTACCAAACCATGCAATATGATTTCTAAAATTCTATGTAAAACAATTTATAAAAAAGACAATATAAGCAAATAAATGCTCACTAATATTTGAACAAGAAGTCAACAGAAGACCACCTAAAAGTGAAAAGCCCTTCCGAAACGAGCGCTTAATTGTTTGCAAACCAAAAATATCAGACGAAAGTGAAATAATAGCAAAAAAAATTTGTAACTTAAAGTAATGATTTACAACTTCCTACGGCAATAATTTGCAAACTAATTTATGTCAATCCGTAGAGCTTTTGTTTTTATAATAACATAAAATTTTCGAGATGTATTGTGTGCGCGGCCAACACACACACACAGAAACATTGATATTGATATCATTTAAATTGTAGGAATTGATCGTAAATTGAAAGTCATTTAGTTTATAAGAATGTTTTTTGTCTTATTAATTATATATTTTTTTAAAATCATTACAACCAGTAGCATCGCATATTTATGCACAAACAAATGTAAAGAATTATTCACTCAAACTGAAAAGACTCGGGCGTGTTTATGTTACAACTGCATAAAAAAACTATGAAGTAAATTTTTTTTTTTAATTTTTGTTGTGTTGAAATATTTTGCTTAATTTGAGTTCTATTTATAAATTTCTGTACCTACAATTCTTTTTAAATTAATTTTATAAAACATATATTGTTCTTCAAACTCCTAAGATATATTAGCTATACCATTTGTTGAATTCCGATAAAGAACACATTTAATATTATTTCGAAAAAAAAAATTATATTTAGAAATCTCAGAAAATATTTAATATGAACAAGCGAATGCTATGCATAGATGTAGCGTAAACAATTCCTCAAAAACACATATAAAGTATCCTATGTGCCAGAACTGTAATAACTATGACTTTCAAAAAAACATATGTAATTAAAATGAATGTATTAATTGACAATAAATGTCAAAGCGAACAAATTTCCTTTTTTTCCCCAAATGTCAAATTAATGCTCTTAGAATGAGTCGAGGTAAAAAGTACTGAGCGACCGAATTTCCACTTTGCGATTTTCACTCTCATGTCAATTATCAAGTTTAGCACTGGAAAATGGTTCATTAACCTTAGACCGTCATTTGATTAATAAAAATAAGCGTGGTTTAAAAGCCACTAAAGAAGCAAAGCCAAATCTTCAGAATCTTTCTACTATCAAAACAAAATTCATTCGACTGATAAGCCGATGCAGAACGACAATTCGTCAAATTAGCGAAACCCAAAGCTAGACCTTGATATTTGATCTTCGCTGAGGATCGAAAACGCCACTCATAGTAACCATAAGAGAGATAATACGTACTTAAATAGCATTCAAATGCAACAACTACTTTAGAGAACTAATCCCATGCTTAACTATAGTCCATTAAATTGTCGTCGTTTGCCAAGCGTTAAAACATAAGTTCTAAATAAAGTTAGCAGTTTTAAATTCCCACAACAGTACATTTGAAATCAATTCCTGGCAGTTCTGGTACATGTACCATTTACATTAATTCCTTTTGATTCATTTTTGGAATTGCAAATGAATGAACTTTACTGCTGTTATTTTATTATATACAAGTATAGTTATGATTTATTTCTGATTTAATTTTTTTTTATTTATGATTATTTTTCTTTTTTACATTCCATTATTTAATTTTTTTTATGCATTGGAGTGTTAGAGGCCATTGCTCATTGTCATTATTGCAATATACCACAAATACATAAACATACATACACATTATAATTTGTAAGTAAGTTTTTTCCATGTCGTGAATTTAAAACGCATACAGCAAACATTTACGTAGAAACTTAACTAGCGAAGATTTCAAAGTGCAATTGTGGTAGGTAAGCAATGCGGCTACATAATATCAAATGCTTAATGATTAATAAATCAGAGGTTTCAAAATACCTGTGGCGTACCTAAAGGCGTTTAAATAAAATCAAAATCATGCTTCATTAAAGATCATCGATCGTTCTCATTGACGAAAACTCGAAAACCCGAAATCGTGCTGGTGTTAAACACTCCAATGTTATATGTATGTATTTGAATATGTTTACCCATTAAAAGAAAATATGAAATTGCAATGAATGACATTTTAAGCAATTTAGTTGTTGAAGAAGTCTATTGTTAAATTATGCTTGTTATATGCATATACACACGTACATAATGTATCTATTTTAAATAAGATGTGGCAATTAAATGTAAACCCAAAAACCGAAAGAACATAAATATTTTGTGAGAAAATGCGTGATCATCATCATATAGAAAAAATTTATAACAATTACAAAAAAAATTAAATTAAATTAAATAAAGTAAAAGGAAAAACTATTTATAAACGAATAAGTAAATCAAAGCAATAAATACAGAAAGTCTTAGTCTTAGTTTACACTTTAGCAGAAAAGGTTGTAGTGACAAGTGCAAAACGAAGCAAAGAAACAAACGTTTAGACAGCGCTAAAGAAATTATAAACTGAAGTTCAAATGACGGCAATTGACATTGATTTGATATGTTTGTTGTTGTATTATGTAATTGACATGCGTGTGCATACATAATAAATTCTCTTAACTCAAAATATGCGCCTGCGCCTGCGCATTTTTCTGCAACGAAAGGTCATTGATAATCGAATTGAAAATTTAGTTAGAGAAAGAGAGAGAGAGCAATAATAAAAATAGAATTGTGTAAAACATAAGCATCACATTACCGTTAATTATATACATATGTAGCTCCATAAATGGAGAGCCTGCATAAATAATCGGTTTTGAGAGTAACAAAACAAACTGGCGATGCGAAAATTATAGAAAATTCGTGATATTTTTAAAAGCAAAAATAATTTAGACTATATAAAACCAAATATTGCTGAGAAAACTATTTGCAAAGCAGGTTTAGATAAACTCATTATTGTCGCAGCTGTGCATTTTTCGTAAGCTATTTAAAAAACATAAACAAAGAAATGCGAAAATAAGCGAACAAACGAACATTTGCTTGCTTATAGTAGAACTTACACACACATACACACTCACACACTCAAACATAAGTTGTAATGCGGCGCAGCCGTTTGCTTTTGTAAGTCAAATTTGTAATTCATGCCAATTAGCAGGCAAACGCTGAAGCTATTTACACGTACAACAAACTTATACACACGAACATGCAAAGCAAATTAGAAAAAAAACCGAAGAAATTTTGCCCAACGCGCCAAGTTTTTCTATTTTGCTTTTCTGTTTCTATTTGGTCGGAAGTAAATTCCTGGTGCAACAAATAATTTATATACATACATATGCTACAACAACTTACATACTTACGTAATTGCACAACTGTACATGCAAATGCATACATGAAGAACATACGTAGTGCGAAAATGAATATGAATAATAAAATACTGAAATACTGAAGAAAAACGATATTGAAAATAAAGAAAAAAAATCAATAAACATAATTATTAACTTGTATAAACATACATATGTAAACGTACATACATATATTATATATACATAAGCATCTATGGTATTGCAAAAAAATAAACACAGACAAGAGATGAAATTAGATACATTTATCAAAAGCAAAAAGCTAAGCAAAAACACCTATCTTATCCTTCCTGTTGACTTTAGCCGTATACAAGTAACAAACAAACATACATACATGCATACAATACGAAGAACGTAATTCTCAACAAAAATAAAGTAATATGAAATTTATAAATTATAACCCTACTGAAATTATCTACTGTTACCTAGACTACTCTGTACTATGTAGTTAATAATTGATAATTTATTAATACCATAGATTAATATTATTTACGATAGAATTAACAAAGAAGCAACTAAGAAAGAAGACTTCTAAGTGACTTAACACACAAAACTCATAAGCGACATGCACGTTAGAAAAATCAGTAAAAAATAAAAACAAAAAAACATGAGATAAAATAAAATTAAATAAAAAAAATCTGAATGGAGAGAGAGACATTCAAGCGAATAAAAAAGATTTCTCTTTTTGCACATGAGGTACAATGTACATTGGATTTCGGCATTGTTGTATCACAATTCCGCTACTGCTTCTTAGGTCAAGGTGCTCAATATGGAATGTCGAGTTTTACAGTTTTTGTTGGTATACCGTAAAACCCATTGTTAGATTGAATTCGCATTCTCTGCGCATGCCATTTTGAAATATCTTCTATGACAATTTTTTGCAGCGTATTGTAAATTATTAGAAAGACTCGACAACATCCACTAAATATATTTTTATCGTAAAAAGGCGTTTGAAATTTTTGTATGCGCCGAAAAGTGCGCTACGTAGATTCCGAAACCGTCAGCCTCACTCTTTCTGAAACAATTTTCAAGGAGTTCTTCTCTATGAAATTTCAATCACAACTAGAGATAACTGTTTACTTCAGTTTAAAGCATTTATGACTAAAATATCGGAATTAAGGCTAATACGCCGGAAGTATAATATTGAGACTTCAGTACGTTCCAAGATAATGTCATTAATGGCAATTGTAAAAAAAAACTGCAAAGCATTTTTAATTAGACCGATATGTTAGCACTGCTGGTATCGCGTTACCCGCGTGTTGCATACTTATAGGCACTCACTATTTAGCAATAGGAAATGCATTTATGTATTAACGAATTCCTTATCCGCCAGAACAACAGAGTGACTGAACGAGACATTATCGGCGGAGTTAATACACCTTGCTCCACGTTATTTGTTTACATACTATACATTCGCACTCGTAGTTAAATAGCTGTAATGCTTATGTGAGTAAGTAGTATAGTAGTTTGGTTTCTTGAAAATCTATTGGACTTTTCAATGTTTCAAAGAATGCATTATTTCTCCGTAGATATTTAAAGTAAACAGCAAATTATCAAACGAACAATATGTGTGGAACTGCGTATGTTAGCTGAAGAGATGGAGAAGAATTCGGAGCGGTATTATTAAACAATATCAACAAAAAATATCAACCAGAATAAGGATAGTGTTAACTGATTACCAACGTGATGTGATCGCTACCAAGTAGCGAGCGCTCGTGGGGGCAAACAACGAAATATGTTGTTTGTTTCATATATATAAAACCGAAGATGCTTCTATAAACTGAGTCACATTTGCAAAACTTCACGTACAAAAGAGATATAGAGGATTTTAAATATTTTTTGTTGCTTTTAATTTCCATTTTATTTAGTACATTAGGCCTGACAAAGCAATATTTTCTAAGCAAGCATTTAAACTAATGTAGAACACCGCAGTGGATTGCATAATTATTTATCCCTTTTTTGATTTTTCGACAGTACCTCTCAGAACATTTCCCCTCCCTCTCAAAACTCATTATGCTTGTGACAAATTACTAAAGACCCAGGTTAACTAATAGCAGCACTTCATCACTTACTAGCTGAAATCTCTATACTACCTATTTCTTACATTATCTTCGTTTGATATTGATTTTTTATTATATTTTCATATTTTCAATTAGACTCTTTATACTTGTATGTGTAGTATGATGAACAAAAATTGCATTTAAATTTCGATTTAATGTAACGCAACACTTTTTTAAATTATGAAAAAAAAACCCCACCCTTCAAATTTTTTTATTGTAATTTAATTATGCATTAACTACTTTATTAATTATTTTGCTTGCATTATATAAATTCGATTTGGTCAAGTAAAAATAACATTCTTCTATTCTCCTTAATCTTACAATCAACATTTCGAACAAATTGTATTATGTACTAGTACGTTTTGTGATCTTCATAATGAGTATTGGTTAATTGAAATTTCATTTAACATTTGAACTTATGTCATATTTCTGTATCGGAAAATGTATGATGATTTAAAACAAACACTGAAACTAAATAATAATGCACATAAATAAAAAAAACTAAATAAATGCAAAACTAACTGTTATCAACGCTGAATAAATAAAATAAATAATGTAACTACTTGAAGTTCTCATTTCACGTCTGTACAAATAAATCAAATCGGGTGTCAATTCACTATATAATTACAAGAGTATGTCTGTAACCTTATCTGAATAATATGACTATAGATGTACATAGATTAAATTCACGAATTATATCGATTCACCGATATTTCTTCGATCAGATCTCTAGGATGACATTCTGACACTTAAAAAAAAAAACTTAACAATTGTCTGACAATGATTGCACTAAGTATTACCTAGATTCAGCTTTTTTAAACGGGGAAGTAATTCAATAATTGGCGATCAACTGATTTAAAATATTACACGGTTGGAAACATATATTCCAGTTTACATTGCAATCAACGATTTTGAAACTTTTTTCGACCACACAATAAAGTATGGTGGCTGGGTGATTAGAAAGGATGTTAAGACAACCGTAGTGGGATTAAGTTTGCTGCTAGATTAATTATTAAAAGAGATGTTTTCGAAACCAAATTGTACCGTTAAGGAGCGAGAGCTCTTAAAACTTCGAAAGAAAAAGTTTAATATTTTTAATTCATATTTAAATCTTTTAAAGATAAAGTGAAAATACCATAGTTACCTAAAGGTTTTTTGTTTTGTGTTCACCAATTTTTGTGTGTCTCTGTTTCTGCTAGTCTGATTTTAGGCGTCGACACCTTTTTTCGACTAATAATTATGAAATATTATTTGAAAATATTGTATTATACTAGATAACGAAAGTGCATTATCTTTGAAAATATGTATTAAGTTCTTTAGCTTAAAGGGGTTTAGAGATTAAATTCTTCAATTTCTTATAATTGTAATTCGTAATTCCGGTAATGTCGGACGTTACAAAGGATATACGACTACGTCCTACGCAGGATATACGACTACAGTGACAGGCAGTAAGAAAGCACTAATTGAATTGGGCTGTGGAAAATACTTCAACTGCAATTTTAAAACTTTCCGCTCGATGAAATATCAATTAGGCAACTAAACCTTGAGTGGTACTCAACCAGTACCCGTACATAAGCCGAGGTTAGGATGAAACACATGTGAATTGCACAAAAGGCATTTTTAGGTTTGGAAAAGTTGCAAACGATTTATTTCCTAGAACTGCTAAAAACACGTACACTAATTAATATACATATACATGAAATATATAATAAAATATAAATGAAAATAAGGAAACTAAATGTAATTACACGAATGCGTAGAAATTCATGAAATACTGAATTATATACATACATATACGGTTGTGTCAAATTATATAAATAATTACGTACAGACTACATGTTTAAGCATATATGCATAGATTCATAAATACTTGTATGTAGGAAGCTAACAACACAAATATAGGATATTATATTATACATCTGTATATTGTATATTTTTTAAGTAAGTGGTATATTGAACAAAAAGAAAACACAAAACAAACTCTATACAAATCTCGATGTGGTCTATTTATCCTAAAAAACATTGTTTGACGCCCTCAATATACTTACATATGTATAAATAAGTGCGTGCAGCCGTGTGTAAGTATACGAATTTGTTAAAGTTGTAAAGCAAATATGCAATATTAAGTAATATATAATATTATAGTAATACAATAAATAGTTTAACTTAATTATACAAATTGAACATAACTTTTGGCCTAGTAAATGAACATACAGCAAATATTAGCTGCAACTGAGTATTATTATTATTTAAAAAAAAGATATATATATATAAAGCTATAAAAAATATTAAAAACTAATTAGAAAATTAATTAAGGCTATAAAGTAAAGGAAACACTTGAGAATCGTGAATAAAATCAACCAAAACCGTTGTAGCTCAATTACTCGTATAAGTAAGCAAATAATCGCATGCTTACATAACGACCATATTTAATATTATATTTTTATATTTACAACAATTCAAAGGTTTACCACAACATACAAATATGGTTGGTTTATATAAAAGTTTGCTTAACAATATTTTTGTGTATTCATCAGGGTACCTTTAACGTTATCTAAGGAAAAACATTAAACGTTTTTTTGGCACACCCTAATATTCCTACACATTTCAAACCACAATATTTCAATTCTAATTCAGAAACTTCATGTCTGGCCACATTACAGCGATATACAGTTAAAGATAAATTAAATTCCTCGGATATATTTTGTACTTTCAAAAAATGTTAGAAATTTAGTGTTGCAGAGAAAGAGAGAGAAAATAAATAGAAACACTTTTCGGATTCGTTTGCAAGAAAAGGCGTAGGGGTCTATATTTTTACGAAGAACGGCAGACAATATACAATATATATTTATATCATATAAGAACTGTGACAGCAAGAATTCACCAAGACCTAAATTGAACGATGCTGTAGATTAGTTTCTATACCTTCTTTCCGAATATAGAAAGCTTCGTTACAGAACTTGCCACATCGATTTTAGATGTCCCAGTAGTCCCAACCCAAACTAACATAACCTTTTTCAAAAACTTATCATATGTATAGTGCATTTGATAATAATTAATCTCTAAGTTTTGAAAATTTTACCCATTTTGTAGAGGCGAAGGTTGTAAAACATTTGGGAGTTTTTTCGAGGTTTGACCAATAGCACCTTTCAAAATTGTTTACCCAGTTTAAGAGTCCTGTAAATAAAGCTTTACATATTATAATATATTTGTATATTGTGAATGTATGTAAGCATGCGGTTGCTAATTATTATTTAAGCTATTTTGGCTATCTTCAAAAATGCTCCAAATTTGTAGGCAAAAAGAACTTAAATCTATAAAATAAAATTGAAACAGAATAAACTCTTGTTGGCGACACTAATCGAAAATATTTGTGAAATTATAATTTGCATAAATCAATTATTTAGGAATATACTTGAACTTATAAAAGTAAGAATTATATAATATTTAACTAATATTAAAGTACATGAATACAATAATTATATGCAACGAAGAATTATGTAAAATTATTGTGTAGATAGATTAAGCGAGCAAGGGCTGTTTAAATATGAATTTAATTTTCCAAACCACAAATACAAACTGAAGTATTAAAAATCATATTTAGCGTTGATTTCATTATTTCTAATTTTGTCTAATAGAATGCAATAACTCGAAAATTTATACATATGTTAAAGTTATATTACACTGCTAGGGTGACAACTAATTATAGCCTAAATTCATCCTTTGCCTGTATTAAGTGAACCATATACATAGGTATATGCTTAGTTTATGCAGACACATAATTTGCATTCAGATCAGTCTTAAGGTTGCGCCTGTTCTCTCTGAAGCTGCTTCACTGGTAGTACCTGCAGCGAAACATTGACACAGTCGATGCGAAAGTCAAGTCCTGCTCATAATGCGTCTAAGAAGGCTAGTATTTCAGTCATCGCAACTAGAAGAACTGAATATCAAAAAGCAGACTGCAAGCAGGAAACTTCCATATGTACGTATTTATATGTGCACTCACTAATTATCATATTGCCACAAGTGGCCGCTGTTTTTTTTTTAACAATTTGTTTCCGTACAAGCAGAGACTTTGTGAAGAAAATTATATTTTGTGGCTGTAAGAGCTATTGCTAATGGGAAATGATGTCAATGTCAAACCGGCAGATTACAAAATATACAAATCTAGATCATTGGAGAAACATAAGAAGTCTAATTATCAACAGTTGCTTATAGCCAATTTTTGTAATGTGGTACAAAATATATAATCTTTGACCTTTTGCAGGTTGAAGCTTTTTTAGGCCAATGCAATATAAAAGGTAAAAATGAGAGTTGCTCATTGTTCATTGTTGCCGCTCAGTGAAAATTGTAATTATTTTCGCTACTATATTTTTTAAATAGTTCTGGAATTAAATGATTATATGCATAATACGATTTTTATTGATTGATTAATTTTTTTTTTTTTTTTTTTTGTAAATACAGTATATTCTACTCATTATTTATTCATTTTAATAATATAATATATATGTAATAAGTATATATATTTATATGACTTTGTTATCATTGAAAATGCATAAGGCGCTCTCTTTTATAAAAGTGTACAAATTGTATGTATGTAATTGTTTAAATACATACATATACACCACAACTGTAAGATATTTACGAGATAATGATCATCATATACAAACAACTCTATTTTGATGCGTTTTATTATAGTGAACAAATGTAAGATTTAATTTTTTGAAATACATACATACTATACACATACACTAACTGCAATATGAGTATTGATTGACTAAATTATAAAATAAAATTATTTCCATACCCATTACCCAGATTTATTAAGAGTAGTGAATATATTCCGGCAAAAATTCGTAGTAAATATAACAGAGATATATGTAAGTAAGCCACCGATTTTCGCCAACGAGATTTGATTACCAAAGTCATTAAGAAAATCTACTGGAACAATATTATATAATATGTTGTTGTTGCAATATGCTCGTGTATACATGTATACTTCAGTACTCGTATGTGTATAAATACATTTGTACGAGTATGTATATTGTATATTAAAAGTATTTATTTTCATAGCAGTTAACAGCAGAAATCAAAATTAAGCACCTACATACATACATACATACTGACATGTATGCATGTGTAAATTAAATTTGTATAAAAAAAAGTGTTTATATCTTTTGAAAATTGGTATTCAAAATTGTTAAGAATTCAAATGAAATTGTAGCGCAAAATGGTTTCACCGAAATTGTTGAGTATTTTTTACTATATGTGTACGATATTTACTTAGTACATATGTATGTGCATATGTCTTTACATATGACAAAAACGATTTATTATTATTCGTGCATCCGCATATAGATGTGCTTATATATATACAAATACCCGTTTATATACTAAATGCAATCAAATGCTAGTCAACGGATCGCCCGTTGAAACGTCGAAATATGTTATTACTTGATGGCATGAAAATATTCCAAACTTCCTCTTCTTATAATTCCTTATTTACACTTCCTATCAGGTACACATAATTAGCGCTGACACTTGTTTGTACTTGTATTAACGAAAGTTAATATTAACTTCTAATTAAATTTGCCAATGAAAAAGGAACATTTGCTTTCCACTATGTGCTTAGCCTAATACGTCAAACTGATTGTAGCTTCGTGTCTGATGTTCTCATTTCTGCTGTTTCATCGTTTGTCTGTGCTAATTTATTTTCTTGTTGTTTTAATAAATAATTTTCTGGACCAGAGTTTAAACTACTTCTCATAAAACAATTGCTATATTTACTTTACTTTGTATTTTACAAATTTCGATATAGAATTCTTAATTATTACAAATCCTGGTAAATTAAAAAACAAAATTTATAGATATTATTTTTAATAACCTCAAATTCCCAATTAAAAATTTTTGATTCCATTATAATTACTTATGCTGCACTTTGCGAGGAAATTACATCATAAGTAATGTTATAAGAGACATCTTCGAAATATTTAACTGTATATTTTAATATAATTCTTCGTTTCTGAGTTAGCATCCATCCTAAAGCCGTCACTTACTATCAAATTTAAAATTCTTTTTATTCCTGGTCAACGCCACGTTGAATACACAATAGGTATAGAATATATTTCGACGGCTAGGAGACCCTTGACAATTGTTCATTTACAGTGCAGTATTAAAAACAAATTTCTGATACTACTGTCAATTCAAGACTAATTATTATTTTGATAGTCACAAAGAGGTTAGGCATTATAAAATGTCAAATCAAATGACAGCTTCTTCCTAATTTTCATAGTAGACAATGTAAAGCAATGGAACCTCAATAGAGACATATTGCTGTAAACTGTCAGTAATTATGTTACACTATGTTATTTTTTATGACTTACAAGTTATAAGGCGAAGTCTTAATATACTATTGCGTATATGTAGACATTATTCAATGAGACATGCTAGTCTGAAAAAAGGCTTATGGATTTCCCAATACTGTATAAGTGAAAACGGTTGCATTGGAGGACTGACCTGCGTATCGTAGCAATTTAACGATTTGTCAGTTCACAGAAATATGTTAACACTCCTTAAATTTGAGGTCGTATGTTTCGTTTGCAATTTGCCTTTTTTACGAAGAATTTGTGATACTTATTAATATAATATATCTATGCATTGGTTTGACATGGCACACTCTGTATATCAAAAAAAAAATTTTTTTTTTTATGAACTCCCTTATTCCCTGAATTTATAAAACTTCAAAATTCCTCCAAATAAAAAGTTAATTAATCACGTCTTCATTGATTATTTATATGATATTGTTATACATATATATTACATACAATCTTGTCGAAAACTACAAAAATATTAATTAATTAATAATTTATTATATTGAAAAGTGTAAATGCTGATCTCTACTGTGTTCTATCTGATTAACGATAAAAAATAAGTGAGAAAAAATTTATCGAATCAAAAAAATTACAAATATGGCATAAAGTTCAACTCATAAAAACCAACACGATTATTGAGAATAAAATATAAAAGTGTAATAAAACAAATATATATACATGCAAACATAAATATATACATAGCCATAAATATAGAGGTACATATATTTTCTCTTTTGAGACGAGATAGTTTTAAAATTGAGACAATGAATATTAAAATTGTATAATATGAAGCAGCAAACCAAATATTGTATTGTATTATACGAATATACCATTATTAAAATGATTGTTGAAATGTGAGAAATTATTGTAATTTAAACAAATAAATATACTAAATATATAGTAAAAATAACAAAAATGAAATGTGTCTTCATAACATTAACAATGCATGACATACATACATACATGCAAGCATATGAACTTCTAAAATATGTTAAATGTACTTGTCGCATTTTTCAATTGAAACGATAATACAGCGATTGAATTTTGAAAAATCAAACACATTTATCTACGAGTACTAACGGTACAATGCTGCACATGTTCATATACATATATACATATATGTAGTAGTAATATATACTTACATATGTGTGCATTATAGTGGTACAACCAATCTGTGCAGACTTCACTTGCAACGAACCCGATTTACACACTCCACACGCACACACACACATTCACATGCCTATGGCCGTATCAAGGAGCATGCACATTGAAAGTGCAGAGCTCGTCTCGTCTACAACCATTGAACTAAGTATCCAATAATGAAAATCGAAAGCAAAAAACAAAAACAAAAACAAGAAAAAACAGTTACAAATAAATATACAATTTATTTAGATGAAGTATACAGTACATATAAATATTTCCAGTAAATATGGTAAATGTGTCAGAAATTAACAAAATGAACAGAATTAATACATATATCAAATTAACTAAAACTCACTCAAGTGACAAAAACTAACAGAGATATTTGACGGTCACAAAACATACTTACAACAAAGGTAAAACAAATACATAGATACATATGAATGTGCGATATTTGAAAGCACAAAATTGAAACGGTAAAAGAAGAAAGGAAATGCACGAAATACCCGTACGAACGTAGGTGTGTAGTACAACGCGAATTCATTTCCGGCGCAAAGAAAACGGTAAACGAGAAGACGAGTACGAAGTGTGGTATGAAAAAGTGGGCGCGCTGATGAAGCGATAAAGAAATACATAGAAATATATATATACATATATATATGAAGTGTAATTATAAAGGCTGTAATTTTAAGTAAATACAATTAAAAAAATACGACATAAGAAGAATGTTGAAAATAAAACGTAAATAAATAAATATAAATATACTGAACACGTAAAATATTGAAAAGAGATACATTTCACCCACTCAAAGAAATTACCTAAAATTAATCTTACAATAAAATATACATATACTAAATATTTATGAAAACTCTATGTATGTAATAATAAAATATAAAAAAGATAATAAACTAACACTAAATAAATATTCGTAAAATCATCTGAAATGCTTGTGTTTTAATTAGAAGTTTAAGCGACTTGCAAACGAACGCATTGGCCCGGCTATGTACAGGTTGGTTGAAAAGTTGGTTGGTCTTAATTCGTTGTTTACAAGCCATTTGAAGTTGACGTGTCAGAGCATTTTTAAATATGGAAAATATTAAATATCGCGCAGTGATTAGATTCTTTGTTTTGAAAGGTTTAAAGTAAAGAAAATTTATGAACAATTGTTAGAAGTGTATAAGGAGTCCTCACCTTCAAAACGCACCGTTGAATTTTGGGCAATCACACCAGAAATCATTGAGGAAGTTCATAATATTGTTAGCGAAGATCCAAGTTTGACTAAGCGTGAAATTGTTAATGCCATAGACATCTCAGACGAACGAGTACTTTATATTTAACATGGAGAATTACATAAAAAAAGCCGTTTGAAAAGTTAGAGCCGCACACGTTAACAATTCAACAAAAACTGGATCGAAAACAAATTTCTCAGCATAATTTGGAGCGTTTTAAGCAGAACAAACCCGATTTCTTCCGTCGTTTTATAATTATGGATGACCCTAAATTGACACAAGAACTTTTACAGTTGACTGAAGCTGGTTGCACAGCTACATGGCAGGCGAAGCCACAACGATCAGCAAAGAAGGTTATGGCATCAGTTTTTTTGGGATGCAAATGGAATTTTGTTGATTCATTATCTGCAGAAAGGTGCAACAATCAACTCTGAATATTATTGCAGCCTTAACGATCTGCTGGATAAAAAAATTGGTGAGAAAATATAAGATTTGCAGCACTAAAAAAATATTTTTTCATCAAGGCAATTTACCTTTTTACAAAGGCGTTTTAACAATGACAAAATTCAACGAACTAAAGTACGAATTGCTTGAGAATCCACCGTATTCACCAGATTTAGCTCCCAGCGACTACTACCTCTTCAGAGACCAGAAACAATTCCTTCGTAGAAAGCGTTTTTCGTCAAATGAAGAAGCTATTACAGCCGTAGTCCGAAAGTCATTATAGGGATGGCATAAAATTATTGGATCATCATTGGAATAACTGTATTGAAGTTAAGGGAGATAATATTAAATAAAAATATATATTTCGTACCAAAAACAGTATTTTTTCATTTGTAGCGCAGAAACTTTTCAACTAACCTGTACCTTAGTTATATACAAGTGCATGGCGCATAATTGATTTCAGACATTTTGAAAAATTCCTAAACGAAAAAGTGAAACAAAGTAAGGGTAATTGCGTGATGTAAAAATAAATTAATTTCGAAACAATTTTCTTTGGATCGGTAATACTTTGACATGACAATTGAATTAATAAATTTGGATGTTAGATCCATCAAAATAAATGTGTATTTTGTGAAAAGCACTGATGTATTTTGAGCTAGGCCCATTTTAAATTAAAAGTTTCGTGTGTTCAAGCAAAACTCTTTTTCTAAAAAAAATGCTGCTGATGTCACACCATGGTTTGGTGAATGTTCCCCGGACTCTGTGTATATTCCTTAAAAAACATCCACATGATTTTTTCAACCTTTAAATGACATTTATCGAGATTTGATAATCTGTAGATGTTTGCTGTTCGATTGTTCAGCAGTGTCGAACATAGGTTCATGAATATTTGGATATGCGAAAGTTTTCTCTATGTGGGGTACAAAACGAGATCCCAATTGACCAAACCAATAAAAAATAAATTATCCAGCCAGCCTGAATATTATACACTATATTAATTGTTCTTTTGCGACTCGGTTATATTTTATAGATTTCTATCAGGTTCTTCGACAAGCCTATAAATATAAAGGAATTAACATTCAGCTCAATAAATGTTCCTTTCATTTATAACAACCTCACGTTGTGCATATTTGAATATTTAATAGAAATTGCTTTCAACAAATCTCTAATCTAATTTTTTCCTTATTGAAGTGGCAAACACGTCAACGATTTTGGCTCATTTCCAAAATGCCTATCAATCGACGACTAGCCTTCGCCCATTTAAGTTTATTTCTTTGTAAATTATAATAGATTGAAAACATTTTTATATTCAGTTATTATTTTCAGTAGAAATAAAAAAAATCGCTTTATAAACCTTTTGTCTAACTCTCCTTCAACATTATTATTGCTCAGAAGACTTATAATAAATTTGTAGAAGTAAGCATTGTGATATTGAAAAACTATGAACTGTACCTACTGGTGATTTGAGAATACGAGTGAGTCCAATCTCTTGCTCTAATTGAAGAACTTTCAGTAAAGTAATAAGCATAACTAAATAAGGGGAGAAATGTTTATTTATTTAAGGAAAGTAAGGGAGACAAAAGCTCTCACGTCGGTGCAAAAGATTTCAGACCCATTAGCCTATCCTCGTTTCTGTTGAAAACATTGGAGAGGCTTATGGATCTGTACATTGGGAACAGAATATCGAGGGGTAAACTGTTACGGGCGCAGCATGCCTATATCAAAGGCAGGTCGGTCGACACTGCTTTACATGATGTAGTGTCATGGCTGGAGATAGCTCTCAAGCACAAGTAATTTGCTGTGGGCACCTTTCTCGACATCGAGGGGGCCTTCAATAACGTGCGACCAGAGACAGTGGTTAAAGCCCTCGAAAAGTTGGAGGTGGAATCGAACTTCAAACACCTTATTTTTAGTCTTCTTTGCGACAGAACTGTCGCAGCGGTGTGGGGTGGTGCCGAGACAACCAGAAAAGTGAATAGGGGAACTCCGCAGGGGGGGGTACTCTCCCCTCTGCTCTGGATATTGGTGGTAAACGACCTACTAATAGAACTCGAGGCGCAAGGCTGTCGGGTGACAGCCTATGCTGATGATGTGGTTCTTATGGTTAAAGGAAAATTCCTGAATACCGTCTACGAGCTCACTGAGGGGTACCTGAACGTGGTATCTAACTGGGCGAATAGAAGCGGCCAGCCGTCAACCCAAGTAGAACTGAAATGGTTTTATTTACTAGGAAGTATAAGATCCCAAATGTGCCTCTCCCCTCCTTCGGGGGTTCACTTCTTCAACCTGTTGATAAAGTAAAATACCTAGGGCTTATCCTCGATAGAAAACTTTCCTGGAGGGCAAACATTGAGGAGAGAGTTAAGAAGGCATCGGTTGCCTTATACTGCTGCAAAGGGTCTATAGGGAAAAGGTGGGCACTCTCACCTAAGGTAGTGTTCTGGCTCTACGAAACCGTAGTTAAGCCAATAATGTTCTATGGTGTTAGTCTGGTGGAGGGCGCTCGAAAGGTCCATACTGGCTAAAAAACTTAAGCGGGTCCAAAGAGCGGCGCTCATCGGAATCTCCGGTGCACTGCGGACCACACCTACAATAGCTCTTAATGCTATTTTAAACATAGCACCTGTGAACATTGCCGGTAAGTGCATTGCTGCGAAGTGTGCTCTAAGGCTCAGGGAAGCTGGGCTTATAAAGAGGCCCGAACAAAGACACTCCGAAATTCTTTCCCCCTTCAGCTGCATTCCGAAAATTTAGATCACTGCGTCACTGAGGCCACTCGAGGCGGCTCCTTCTCCGCTCATATTTCAACGAGGGACATGTGGATGGGAAGAAGCCGCTGGAGAAGAGGCGCGGTGAGCTTTTTCACAGATGGATCAAGGCTAGGAGAGAGGGTGGGAGGGGGGTTTTCTGCAAGGAGTTCCGTCAATCTTAGCTTCAGGCTACCGGACCACTGGATCTTCTCGCCTTGAACAAAGTTCATCTCGCCGCTATGGTAGGAGTTCTCACTGGACACTGTCCAATGGGCACTCTTGCGGTACGACTTAGAGTACTAACCGATGCTAGTTGCCAAAGCTGCATGAAGGAGGGCGAGGTGGAAACATCCCGGCACTTTCTCCTCCAATGTCCGGCTTTCGCTAGGCTGAGATTGAAATATCTCGGAAATCACACTTTTGGCGGACCTGAATACTTAGCCGAAATGGATATTGGCCGCCTTAACAAGTTTGTTGCAAGCACAAAGCGTTTCGTTGACTTATAAGGGTCTTTTGATCCAGATTATAGGAATTTTGTAGGTATCACAACGGACCGGCGTCTTAAGCTGTCCAAGTGGGATCCTTCTTGGGATCGACCTCCTAACCTAACCTAAGGGAGCCACAGTATGATCAGTCACATTTATAAATACAGATTGGTTTAAAAGCTGGTTGGTCTCACCAAGAAATAGTACTACTAGCTCCTAATTTTTTTTCTCAAGTTTGTACATCTGGCGTGTGAACAAATGCAAAGTTACAAGTCATTTTGTTAATTAATTCTTTGTTTACAAGCCAATTGAAGTTGACGTTTCAGAGTATTTTTTTAATAAGGAAAAAATTAAATATCGCGCAATGATTAGAATCTTTGTTTTAAAAGGTTTAAAAGCAAAGAAAATTTATGAACAATTGTTAGAAGTGTCCTAGTCCCCACCTTCAAAACGCACCGCTGAATTTTGGGCTGGTGGGCTTAAACGTGGTCGTACTAAACTTGAAGACGAACCACGTTAAGGACGACCAAAAACCGCAACCACACCAGAAATCATTGAGCAAGTTCATAATATTGTTAGTGAAGATCCAAACATGACTAAGTGTGAAATTGCTAATGCCATATGTATCTCAGACAAACGAGTACATATGAAAAAGCTGTTTGGAAAGTTAGTGGCGCAGTCGTTAACAATTCAACAATAACTGGATCGAAAACAAATTTCTCAGTGTAATTTGGAGCGTTTTAAGTAGAATAAAACCAATGAATTTTAGTATATATATGATGGGAGCAACTCTCAATGGGAAGAGCCGCATTACGTTTAGGTGCACCAACACAGCCTCTGATAAGGTGCAAATCTGTCTGGAAATATCGAGCTTGAAGTGCTATTGTTGAAGAATTAACAGGCTTTAACCGAATTTGTCGGGTAGACGAGTGTACCGATTTTCTTAATATTGCATTATTACGTGGGAGTTGACGTCACATAATGTACATACCACAGTATGAATGGCACAGATTATTGTAACACTAAGTGTTTATATGTATATGTGTCAAATGGCATTAGAGTGAATATGTACTTGAGTACTTTGGACGTAGTGACTTTCATTGGCCTACAATCCAAGTCACACCATGAGCATGTGCAAGGTGTACGCACACACATTCGGCGTTATCGCTGCTCATTAGTTGGCGATTAAATTAATTTAAGTGTTTAGTATGGGCATTTACATGAAGCGTGCGCGTATTTTGACACATACACTCACAGACAGTTAAATATATCAATATGGCTGAGTGTGTGATATAGGTGCGGATTTTGACGTTTTAACTGTACCAAAACAAACCAATAAATAAATACGTAAATATTTCAGTGTTAATAATTTACTAATTAACTAATTGAGTTGCGATATTAATAACTAATAGAAGAACACAAATGCACATCTTATACTAAATTCGATAGTCTAAAAATTCGATTTGTTCGGCCGAGATCAATGTGCTCCATCCGTTGATGTCCAAAAGTTTTTATTGTAATACTGCATGCGAATTTTGACGGGCAGGTTCTGTACTTTGTCGAATTCGCAATTTTTATGTATTTTCACCATGCGTCCATCAGTTCCGGGCAGTAAACGCCAATAAACTGTCTGCATTGCATTTCGGCCGGCGATGTAGCGTGTGGTGGCACCGACAAGTGAATTTACGTTTTTCGCAGACATTTTCGATAACTTTATTGTTTTTAACTTTAAATATATTGCTGTACTAAACTAAATTTCTTAGTTTGGCTAATGTAAGTTCAGTGCTTATATTCTTGCTTTCAATGTTCACGACAATCTGCTGAATACCCGGGCTGAAACAATCTTTATATAGTCAGTCACTTAAGTGCCAAAGTCTTAGTTCTCGATTGTCGCTTTGTTTTATTGTTGGTTTTTACTAGTGATTGAAGTCGCAATCAGCTGGTGGCCTGTTGGTTCTTATCAATTTTCACTTCGTTTGTAAGTGTATTTGTGTAGTTTGCAGTTTTTGTTGTGATTTCAAATAAACTTTTATTGTTATTGAGTTTTTGTTTGTTTGTAGTTTCAAATGATATCACTTTTTTATGGTACAAGAGGCTTAAACAAGAGCTTTCGCTTGAATTATTATTATTTTTTGTTTTTTGAAAGACTACTTGTTTTGTTCATTTTAATTACTATTATAAATAATTTTTTGTTTTTTGAAATATAACTTATTTTGAAACGCACAAATTGTACATTTATTTCTCAAGTAAGCACTAATTCAAATCGCCTACTAAAAGTGGCCAAGGCTTCACATCACAATGGAATGCATAAATAGTAAAACTGGCTTAATAAGAAACTTCTCCAAACTTTGGTTTTAAAGTAATTTTTATTATTAATCGAAACCAAAACAAAAATTCACATCATATACATGATATAACTTGCTTTTAAAAGCACTCCCTTAAGGTGTTATATCCACTAAAACAACTTCAAAAAATATAATCTTGTTTTACATATATAGAATGTACATATGTATATTAAAAAAGATTTATATCCCAATATTAATATATCCAAAGTTTTGAAGTTGATTCGACAAATAGTTTCGGAGATATGACGTATTAACGTATAGTTATCGGCTCTCGAAACTTTAAACGCATTTTTCTCTAAACGCTGTTTTAAGAGCTGATAAGGAAACATTCCACAAAACTGCTAGACCGACCGATTTAAAATTTGCTTACGACCTTTTTAAATATACTTATTTGTCAGGAAATAATCGTAGTAATAAGATTTTTGTTAATAATTTCGATTTTTAAAGACGCTCTGAAGCGTAAATATTTTCACAAAAAATTACTCATTTTGGGAAGCGGCCATTTTGTCAAAAATCAAAATTTATTCATCTATTGTTATAATACATTTTTATTGGTTTTTAGATAATTCTTAGCAGAATAGTCCTCCTCACCGCCAGTTACCTTTTTTTTCGGAGGTCCTCCTGGAAATCGACTACGGTATCAAGGGCTGCAAATCAAAATTAATTTCCGATTATTAAAGTCAATTAAATTAAGTATATGCACATTCTTTTCATTTATTTATTAAACAAAATTCCTCTTCAAAAATATAAATACATGCTTTTCTGACTTGCAAGTGGATATAACCACTTAATGAAGACTAATTTACTTTTAAATGAATATATACTTTTTATAGATACTTATATTATCTAGTAATATTCGATAGCAACATTGTATTACTTCAAATATATGTAAATATCTTATGTCACATGTTATAAATATTGTATTTGTAAATATCACCATCAGATATTTCATAATATCAAAACATTTTATTTACATCATCCAGGATGTAGACGAGGAGATAGAATGTGAAAGCTTGCGTCATACTTTGTTAATATATATTTATTTAATGGCAATCAGTTATCTAGTAAACAATGAGCTAAAATATAGGCACTCACATAGGTACAAAGTACAATACATTGTACATATGTACATATATGTAGAACATATAGAATATTTACTTACACAAATTTGCAATGAAATATTTACTGCGCTTAATACGCATCGTAACGCCATTTCCTTCGCAAACGTAAGCTATGCTTTGTTTAATCGCAATCATCGATTACGTCAAAGGTTTCTTTGGCGCGTGTACTATCGATATACCGTTGGAAAATATTTATTAATTATATAACATACAAATAATAAATACTAGGGTTAATAAATGAAAATATTTTATTTGTAGCCAAATACTAAAATACTGCGTTATACTACTTGCCTTATTAGTATTGGCGCCTGCGTAATAGTAAATTTCATTCAGCATACTCGTACATACTTACAAAACAGTCGTCTGTAATCATACATTTAATTCATGTACAATAATTTATGTAAACAGATATTAGCGTTTGACTCACCAGCTTTTTATACGCAGTATAATGAGTGATAACAGTTTTGATCGGCAAGTCTATTGATGATACTCGTATGATGCTACTTACAGTTAGTGATGACACTAGTAGCAGCTAAATTGAGTGACAGTTTCGCTTTTCGGTCTTTTTGCAATTACATATTTAGTGCCTTAACTTAAACGAAGTCACAGGCTCCGTAAATTGCATTGGAATTCTAAAAGTTCTGACAAAAAGCAAAAGTTCTATAATCAGATATTATTTTATCATGTACGTTAAAATCACAATGTTCGGTTAGATAAAATCTTTTGCGCACCTACAAAATACAATAAAAACTTTGACAGAATTGTTGAGGTTAAAATCATATAAATATTGATACACAAATATCATAATACCATTTGTAAAATCTACTTGATATAAATGTCTTTTGTAATGACTGAAAAAAGATGAGCGCGACTAAGGCCAACAATTTCATGGAGCATCGAATTGAAAACATATAGGTTAATTTTTTATTATCGGTTACTGTTACTTTATTCGGTAGCGACGGTGTTGTCGGCTACCACGGAATTATGTTATTTTAAATAGAAACAATTTGAGTTCCGTTTTAAAAGTAATTTATTAAAATTACATTTCCCTTATTTATAACCTACTATTACTATTGCCGCTACTGCCATTGACACAGCTTTTCTAAATTTCTGTTTCAGGGTTGTTAAAAAATTAGATTTTCATTTTTTATAAATAATAAAATTTTATTTTTATTTTTTAATCCAAGATGCTTGGGATTAAAAATTGAAAATATTATTTTTTGATTTGAACGAACGAGAAAAAATTGTAATTCTAAAACATTAAACATACATACATACAACATTTTAATTCTTAATAAATGCTTGAGACTAAAACTTTTTATTTTATTTTCAGTAGTTGGGATTAAAAAAATTTTCGGTTTTTGGGATTATATCTGGGATCCGGGATCCTGGATTTGGGATTACCAAATAAACAAAACTTCTAATTCAAATGTTAATTCCATTATTTTTTTAATGCATTATTTGCAACTCTGAAATCGTTTAAAAATTTAAAAACAATGTATTTTCAAACCGTGTAGAAACAGAATTAGGTGTAGTCTATTTTAGGAAAGTAAAAGATCTTCTGATAAAATCCTTATTCAGGCATGATATAAAAACTTTTAGAACAACAAGAAGATCACATGTTTTCATCAATTGGGTAAATTAGTTCTGGATTTGTTCAACCAGAAATTTATATATGAATGATTAAAATTGCTTTCTACGTTTCGACTTTTATTAGCGACACTTGAAAGTACCCGTTCCTCTAAAGTGCTCACTTTATAATAATACTTCAAAATTCTTCTTTAAAAAATGTTTTGTTTTGCTAATTGTTGTTGTTATTTACATAGAAGGCGATAAAACGCTTTAACAATATATGTCTCACAGTACAAATACGAGTATTATTTAATTTGTAAACAAATAATGGAACCAAGTTCAAGAGTTTGTTATGCACGGACGTGCATGCCCGTCTCGCATGCTTATCGCCGAAGATTTAGAATGTCTGCGAGCTTATCAAACAAATAATTGTGGCTTCCATTGGGAACACCTCACATTTATTTGTTAGTTATTACTAATCGCACTTGAGGTTGTCAATGCATAAAGTTCTATTTCTTGGTCAGTCAAAACTGATAAAATTCCCACACACGAGTATACACGAGTATACGATCTGTATTGTCAAATGTTATACTATATGTATATACATATGTATATTATAAACGTAATATAATTACACCCAATGCACCACTATTTCGCGATAATATATAGCTAATAACAAATTGTAAAATAAGTGGTCCAATGGCAGAATAGCTTAAATCATATTAAGATAGGTGTGCTGCATTAGTCATTTTCGACTTGGTAAACCGATTAAATAAACATTACAATATATTATATTGAATTTTTTAAATATTGATTGACTGGAAAACATTTTTTTTTTATTTTTTATGAAATATATACTGTCATATTCCATATTGATTTATTAGAATAAAAGCTTCATAGTATATTTGCTTCATTTTAAAATTTGATAAGTAATAAATAATAATTAAATCGACATAAATTAAATCGCCATAACGTGCATTGGGTTTAAAATATTTTGTTTGACGTGAAAATAATTAGGACAATGCATATTTTATTGTCAAAAATCATCACGGTGCCACATGGGCTACCCTAATTAACAGAGTACTTGAAAATGTATTAGCTTAGAGCTTAAATTGATAATACACTCCGGGAAAATTGTTCGAGCATTAATTTCGGTCAAAGAAGTTGTTATTTTAAACCTAATTTTTTCACGATATTTTAAGAGACAAAAAGCACAAACGTAAGGAATTAATATTCTATAAAATGTTTATCAAATGATATAAAAGAAATAAATATTAAGACAATTTCGTCCCATTACTTTTTTTGAAGTGTCATTGACAGAAAATACATTGGTTCGTGACGTCATTAACGAAAGAAAGGGAAAGTTTCGTTTACAATTATTGTGAAAGGGCGAGAGTTTATTTCATTTGATACATAGCGTATTGCAATCGCGGCGCTTTCATAATTAATATGTATATTATAATATAAATATTTTTGCAGAAGTCAGACAAATGAACAACGTTCAAAGAAAAATTAACTACTGAAAAAGAAAAGCCTAGCCGATAATGTAGAGAAAATAAATAACTGATTTTACCTTCGAAGATAAGTTATATTTTGCTATTCGATTTGTTTTAGCTATTTTGAAGTGTGATTTTGGGTGAAAAACGCAATTAGCGCAAACTTTTAAATTCGCGTTGTGTACAATTTTTTGAATCTTTTTGTTCAATACAGTAGACTTCCGCCGAATAGTTTTAAAATAACTTATCGTATGTTAGAATGATTAGATTGTGGCAATGTTATTGTAAATAAACAATCTCTTTGCAAAAATGGAAGAATCCAAACAAAAGGTGAACAGTTGCTATGCAGTGTAAACAGTGTGATAGACATTTTCGATTTGGAGAAATCCGTATGATTATCTAGTTAAGTAAGCTTAGTGTAATGGTTATAAAAATGTGATAATTCAAATAAAGAATTTTTTTGAAGTTGTGGGGGGGTTTAAATTAATATTGTCAATGTATAAATGATTTTTACAGCCCACTATCATAATCAACCAAATTTCTAATGAATTCACCTACCCAATTGTCGCTTATTATGGCGAAAAAAACTAAATTAAATCGCAAATGCTCTTTTTTTTGGGGTAATTAATACAAAAGTGTGTAATTTAAATATTATTTCAAATTTTTTATTTCAAATGTAGATAAGCAGGAATACTTTTTACGTCAATGAACATAGTCCACATAAGGCTTATGCTATACTCATTTATAAAGCCGCGGATTAAAAAATAAAAAAATTGTTAATGTTAGCTAATACAAAAACAAAAAACGCTTATAAGATGATGCTTTGTGCAAAACGCATCAAATTAGGGATTTTTGATATATTATAGAATAAAAGGAATTCTCTTAAGCTAGAAATATTTTTCTTTTATAGAATAGAATTGTTTATTTTATAATTTTACAGTTAATTAATCAGGCTTGTCATGAGTTTCATATTTGCATTCAAAGAATTTAATACTGAATTTGTTATGATATACTTGTATTACTATTAAACATATTTACATTCATGTTTTTTATTACTTAATTGGAAATAAAACCCGTAAACTTGAATGGACGAACTTTATTTTGAGCGAAATTAATTTCCGAACTGCTTATTATTGGTGATTGATATGCTTTACGACAGCTTATACATTTATGCGCCACATCGCTTCTTATTGCTACCTTTTTTATACTTAGACAAGGTACATAGCCTTAGGCCAGAAGCATAGTACAGTGGCAGCAAGGTTATCTACAATTCTGTCTATATTTATGATTTCTTTTATAAAAACGTTGTTCCGCAGGGAAATTAAGCTAAGTTAAGATGCTGCTCTGTTGAAAATTTTTTGTTCATAGATTTTAGTTTGATACTTATTTGCCGAAAAGTGTGTGTGAAATATCTAAGAATAATTTAATTATTTTTATAAACCCAACGATTACCCTCCTCCCGCCCAACCGACGCGAGGGGCGCAATCCGCATACGTGCGGAATTAGCCGAGTCAGAAAAGGCAAGAGAGTTTTTTAAGTATTGAGATCTAAAACTGCTCAGCTACAGAAACAAAAATTTCAACAGCTAAGATCTAAAGTTACAATATAATAAATTGTTACATTTTCATTTATTAAGAGAAAACAATAAAGTCTTTTTAATTTTGAAAAGTGAGTCAGATAAGTCAAATGTGCTGGAATGAGAATTAAAATCATGACATATACGGCGGAATAGCTCGTTTAGTTCAAAATTTGATCTACAGGATTTTAGCAGTAAAGGTCTAAACTGCCTCGAAAGGCGAACCGGAATATTAAATTTAATTTCAGACAGGAGAAAAGAACTGCAAACAGTTCCATTCAAAAGTTTCACTAAGAATATTATGCCAAGCATTTCCCTACGACTAGAAAGTGTAGGTAGATTAATAAGTTTTAAACGACTAGTGTATGGAGGTAGACTTACCCTAGCATCCCATCGGAAATGCGCTAAAGCGAAAAGTAAAAATTGTTTTTGAACCGACTCTAACTTGTCAGAATGGATTTGGTAGCTAGGGTTCCATACCACAGAGCCATATTCCAATATAGGTCTAACCAAAGTTGTATAAAGTGTTTTAGTAATATACGGATCTCTAAATTCTTTAGACCAACGTTTAACAAAACTGAGGACAGCTTTTGCTTTCAAGACCATGGTATCAATATGAAGACTGAAATTAAGCTTAGGGTCAATATTAACTCCCAAATCAACATAGTTAAAAACTTGCTCTAGAACACTTTTTCAGTAACATATAGAATCTTAACGTGTCAAGTTTATCCATCCACGAATTTAACATTTAGTTAGATACATATAAATTGCTATGTAACCCCATTGACTTCATAGGTTAGTTACATCTCATACATATGGGTCAACAGATAAATACAAGTTTTGTGAACTTTTTTTCGAGTCTGTGAACTTTATTCCGCACACTGAAATACAAAATGTCTTCACTACAACTAGCGTATATTTTTCTTCAATTTTCAACCGCTAGACGTTTTGACGTCACACAGTTATGCTCCACACAAGCTTCACAGTACACACACATTGATTATGTAAGAGGAAATTACTGTTTGTTTTACTTAATGGGTCTCGGTCTGTACGCTTATCCAATCTTAGATGGACATAAATGCTGCGTCATGTAGTTGTTGTTGTAATCTTAACTTAATTAGTTGCACAAATAATTTAATTAGACGCAACATACGCCTACACACATTTCTCGATGTAATACATATGTATGTGTGTGCTTAGTTGCTTTCTCATCGTTTCTTACTCTGTCTGACACTGGAGTTTGCGATGACTAATTTAATTGAATTGAATTTAATTGGCCACAATTCGAAAAGACTTTGTATGCTGTCAAAAATTCATTCAATTGTGGTCAGTGTTTGTATGTGAGCGTGGGTACACACACAAATACAGATCCATGTAGATATGCTAATATTAAAAAAGTGAAAAACATATATTAAATGAGTTTTTAGTAAATGTATTTCAAATCAATTAGCTGTACAAGTATAGAGATTATTGCATGAATTTAAGCGCCGAAAATGAGAAAGATGTCGAACTACAAAAGACTTAGAATCCAATTAAAAATTCAATGGTTAGAATAGGATTTAAGCATAGCAAATAATCCAAGTAGTGTTAAAATGGAAATATGCATTATCGCCGGACTCGCAGCCGCTGAACTGCACACCTTTCGAATCGTCTCCGTGTGTAAACCGCGTCTCGATAGCAGATTTCGAATACCACGCAACTCCTGTAAGAATATCAATTATTTATATACATTTAGTATAAAATTAAATTTTACAATAAAATCTTTAATTATCAACATATTCTTTTTATACTAATGCTTTCATATTATTGCATACACACCTCTATACTTAGGCCCTTTTCCGTTCGACTAAGGACCAGCGTGTATATGGAACTAGACATATCATTGCCGCAAAATGTCAATACCAAATGATCATTAACGGCTTTCACCACTTGCACAGTACCTGTAAATTGGTTATAAGAGTTGAGCGCCACTAGTGAGCCCCGCTGTTCCCCTATATTTGTCCATAAACCTGGACTTCTTTCGGTGTAATTAAACATGTACTCCAGATTCTTATCACTTTCGCTCCAAATTAATCGGAGGTAACGTGCTGAATTGCGTTCGTTGTTTGTGTTTTGTATATGTTGTTGTTGTTGTTCGTTTTGAGTACGTCGTTGATTGTATTGTTGCGTGTATTGTTGATTATTATAATGATTGCGCATCTGTAAATCAGTGGCATGTCAGTACTCATATTTGTTGTTGTAATAAACTATATAAACAATAATAATAGAATAATAATAAAATAAAATGTTTACAAATTTGTCATAGGTCGAGCATGTTTTATTTGAAATTTGTAGCTACATCTAGACCAACATACACAATACATGAGATAAGTGATTGAGCGAGAATTTAGAATTGAAATTAACTAGACATCTATTTGTATCAACCTGTAATTGCCACTACGAAACATGTCCTTTTTACCTGGTAGAAACTGCTCACCATGGTCACAATTTTCAAAAGCGATAGCATTTTTTAATCATAAAGGCCTTTGTGCTAATTATAATATAATAACTTCTTGAAATTAAAAAAACAAAAATATTTCACATCTCTGTTACAATTAACCATATTTTTTCAGACAAATAAAACAGAGGCGTGCTGTAATATAACTCATACGCTGTGGCGCACCTATTAGGTAATCTTCAGTATTTTGAAGGACAAAATGTATAAAAAGGAATTTGGGGTGTTAATGGAGCACTGATTTTTGTTGGAAAACACTGATGATACCAAAAATTGGCAACCCTCCTTTAGTGGCCATATGAGCATCGAGAAAATGAATGTAGTGAGCGCACGAAAAAAAAAATTATGTTGTGCATGACTTTAGTCTATGATGACAATGAGAAAATTGTTTCGCTAGCAAAATGCAAAATACTTATAAAATCTTTCGGCTACTCACTTGTTCGGTTATATCATTCAGATGAATTATTACGCAACTGTCATACTCGTAAATACCGGGTATATCCTGAGTATGAATAATGATTTCGCTCCCATACCACATGCCCGTGATCTGCAAAAAATACAAAAACAACAAATAACGCATAAAATGATGCGTTAGCCCTTGTGATGCACTAAAAGAAAATTTATTCTATGATATACACACTTTATACATACAGGTTGGTTAAAAAGTTGGTTGGTCTCACCAAGAATTAGCACTACTAGATTCAAATTTTTTTGTGAAGTTAGTACATCTGTCGTGAGAACACATGCAAAGTTACAAGTCATTCTGTCAATTAATTCTTGGTTTACAAGCCAACTGAAGTTGACGTTTCAGAGTATTTTTTTAATATGGAAAAAAATAAATATCGCGCAATGTTTAGAATCTTTGTTTTGAAAGGTTTAAAAGCAAATAAATTTATGAACATTTGTTTGAAGTGTATAAGGAGTCCTCACAAACGCACCCTTAAATTGTAACCTGGTGAAATTAAACGTGGTCGTACTAGGCTTGAAGACGATCCACGCGAAGGACAACCAAAAACCGCAAACACACCAGAAATTATTTCGCAAGTTCATTATATTGTTAGTGAAAATCCAAGCATGACTAAGTGTGAAATTTCTAATGCCATAGGCATCTCAGACGAATGAGTACTTCATATCTTACATGGAGAATTACATATGAAAAAGCTGTTTGAGAAGTTAGTGGCACAGACGTTAACAGTTCAACAAAAACTGGATCGAAAACAAATTTCTTCTCTTCAGAGACCTGAAACAATTCTTTCGTAGAATGTGTTTTTCGTAGAATGAAGAAGCTATTACAGCCATCATTGGAATAAGTGTATTGAAGTTAAGGGAGATTATATTAAAAAATATATATATATTTTGTACCAAAATCAGTATTTTTTCATTTCGAGCGCAAAAACCTTTCAACCAACCTTTACATATACACATTTGGTACATAATACATGGCCATTCATTCTTTTTGCTAGACTCTTATGTCAATTTTATTATTAAATTTGTGTAACCTTTTGTTGACTTCTGTCAGAGTAGTTGAGCATATAGGCGCCAGGGAAGAAACCAAAGTGAAGCATGTGCATATGTATGTATGTATCTTATGTTATTGGTATATATCTAGATATTTATGTACTCAAATAACTTCTCACGCATTCTTATGTACTTAATTTTAAAATTTGGTTGTTGGAAATAAAAAATTCACAGTTTAAGACTTCGTTCACTGAGTGCAATCAGCTCTGGAAATCAACTCTATTTGGTTTGTAAAAATATTTTTTTTTAACTTTTTGCTTTTCTAAAATGATTTATATTTACTTAACATACTTTCCAGTCCTCTGTGTCGGTTAACCATGCCATGTTGAAGTAAAACACCTACTATGGCTATGTACTTATTCCATTTAATATAGGATAATTTCTCGCTTAGATATTTATAATTCAGATTGAGAGCTGCAGAAAACCTTCCCTAATATTTAAGAATTCAATCTTATTTATGTATGCTAGTAGTCGTGATACCGAAGAAGCAATTACCGTAATCACAATTGCATTCGCATTATTCCACGTAGGGTGAATTCTTATCTGCACAGCTCTGCTAAGCTTTGTAGCATACAATCACGTCGATGTAGAATATGTCCCTAGTAGAAAAATGATTTATAATTCGGCAATTATAAATAAATGCTTTATTTAACTTTCAACCTGATTATTATACAGTCTCTGCAATAAATATTATGCCGTATATCTTATGGCTAAGCATAAGTTGATTAATTTTTACATACAACACAAATAATTTAAGGAAAATTTAATTCCAGCATAGGAAACTTTCATAAATCAAATAAATGAATTATATTCCCAAATCTGAATGCTGAATAAACACCCTTACTCGAATTTTGAGTTTGAACCTTAAAACAGGTGCAAAGTAAAATGAAACCGATTCAAGCACAGAGAAAGCAATATATCTAAAAATTAAAATAAATAAAAAAAATAAAATAAAAGAGTAATATTCTTGAAGGCGGGACTATCGCCACGGGCAGTATATGTACATAATGTACGATTATACTCATATAAATATAACATCAGTCGAGTTCCACATCGAACAATATACTTAAGATTTTCGGATCCAAATTACTCTAATTCGTTTTGTATTATTAATATGTTATATAAATTTAACATATAGCTCTGTAAGCCCTCCACTTTCTACTTTGTACTTGTTATAATATAGCAAGTAGCATTTAACGGATACCTGATATACTAGAAGTTACATTAATTTTATAAAACAGAATACTTAGCCCGCCAAATATTTTAAATATATGTATATTTTTTATTTCAGCCTAGTAACTAATTATACCTGCGGCCATGCACAACTTACCATTCAAAATTTTCAAATGTTACGCATATTTGGCAAGATTTTATAGCGGTACTTTTTATCAAATTTTTATATTTAGAAATAAGTAAGTAACATGTTATTTATAGAAAAATTAAGAATTAAAAACAAAACACATTCAGTTGTAGACTAAATAATTTACAAGTTAGTGAGGCTTACAAAATGAACTCGAAATACCATATAAGAGACTGACGCGATTAAAAATTTATAATACTTTGTATTTTAAAATTTAATTTAACTAAATTATAATTAAAATTAATTTGTTTTAAATTGAAATACAAAGTTTAGTAGCGTTATTAATTTAATCGGACGCTTTTGTATAAGCAAATAAAATAAGGTTTTTGATTAATTCATTAAATAAAATAAATTATTGACTATAATTATAATTAGGTAATATAATACAGATTACTTGTGCTTACTAAAATCATTAAAAAGAAAATTTTAAGAAAATTCCGAAAAGAATTTAAAAAAGTGTCGTTAATTCGGCGTGGTCGCAGGTGTAGTTACCATTATTGGTACCATTTTGGCCGGGAGTCACTGTACAAGTAGTACTTGTAGAAGTTATCAGATGTAGATGCTTTCATTTCTAATTTTTTTAATGCGAATTAACTTAGTACATACATACATACATATGTACATGCATATATAAATGGGTGAATTTATTGTTAATATTTCGATTAGTCATGTTAGCATAATCTTTGAAAGTATGTAATAGGTTAATGTCGGCAAATTTTTTAGATGTCACACAAGGTTCAAGCTTGCAGTATATAAATTTCATGATTCACAGAATGTTAATTCAAACTATTTATTTAAATATATTTTTTAATTTTCCTACCTGTCCTATATCCACAGAGTGTTGGGGCTTAATATCCATGCACAAAAGCGAATTTGTGTAGAAATTTCGATCCGTGCTTGAGGGCACATCATCATAGCTTTGATATTGATTTATGGCAAAACAGCAAAGTATGCTGAATTGAAACACAAGAAAACGCATAAAAAATTGCAACTGCATTTTAAACATTCATATAAATATTTTCAAAAATAAATTCAATTTTAACACGTTATTAACGTAATATTTTGTGATTATTCCGCAAGTCGAACATAACACAGCGCGCACAACGTTAAAGCTCGCAGCACAGTTTTCAACTAGAGAGGGCAGCTCATCACCATTAAGCAGATCAGGAGCGATAAGCGATATATTCTCCAGTAGCACTCAACATTATTGCCGATTTGTTGCTATTCATTGTTGTTCCAATGCTCATTCTTCTTAATTTTACTAGCTGTTGACATTAATAAAGATGATGGAAGCTACTGTTATTCCATTCCAACAACGGTACGTGCACACGCTCTCACATCTCGCTTTTGGAAAACATGGATCAATTTAGAAGCACCATTCGCTTTCCGTAGTTATACTTAATTGCACACACATACGTGTTAGCAAATTATAGTATGAATGGTATAAGTATATACATATGTATACCATATAGCATTGTATATTTTGTACATATGTGGCGTATATGTGTGTGATCGTTTTGAGTGGGTTGAACTGTTATGAAAACTGCATACCAATATAGTAAATTGGCAGCACCACAAATTGTGAGCGAAGAGAGAATTCTTGAACGCCTCCAATGAATTGAAATTTATCAATTAATGCTGCGAGTTCGCCAAGGGGCCTGATGTTTGCCCTTTATACCGCTATAAATGGCGTTGACCGTAAATGCTCTACTCGTATATGTTATGAATCATACCGAGGCATCAAGCAATCACTTTTGTCGCCAATGAATTTCCATGTGAGGGCAATATAAATTTGTTTTTCTAAAGCCACTATAATATATTTTGTTTATTTATTTTATTTTTTCTTTTTCAATTTAGTTCAAGAACATCTGGCCATTAATATTATTCTTGCAAGATTTTTGAATATCCTATATTATGGTCTCTAATAAAGTATGAAAACACCTGATGATTAGATGTTCTAAAGTTTAACCATACAACACATTCCTGTAGTTACGGATTTTAAGGATTTTTAATTACTTGAACTGAACTTAAAGGAGTACAAAGGAGGTTAGTTATACATACTATATAATAGAACCTCATACGATAGAAATGAACACGGTCTGGATTTGGATGTTCAAAAATCAGGAAATTTTTTCGTAAAGATAATATTTTCCACTAATTTGTGGACCCTATAACCTTAAAAATCTCATATCGACATTTAATACAACCAGCAGAAGGGTTGGGGTCATCCTTGAGATTTAAGCATACGTTTCATTGCCACAATGAAATTCATAGATAATTAAATGTTAGAATAACTATACATTCCCCTTTATTTTGCACATAAATTCAAATATTTCTAAACTAATAAGTATATAACGGTATACAAATTTAAAATTTTTCTATTTTACAATTTATTGTTATTGTTCATAGAAAAGTTGATTTTTTCCAATATCCAATCAACGTATTTCTCCACACGCACATAAACGCCCGGCTTATTTGCATAACCGCAGTGCTGGCCCCATGAAATTATACCATACAAGGTTTCACCATCTAGAAGAGAATGAAAAAATCAGGTTTTGGTTAAATTAATTTAATATATTGAGCAATTACTATGAACTACACACCTTCATCATGACAAATCAGCGGACCACCAGAATCACCGTCGCAAGCATCGACGCTCTCATCCATATAACCGGCGCAAAACATACCCTCAGTGAGAGATGCGCCGTAGACATGTTTTTGCTTACAAACATCATCGGACAAAATTGGCAATTCAGCTGCACGAAGGATATTTGAGGGTGCTAAATATATATTTTTAAGGAGAAATAAAAAATAAAATGTTTATATTATTTTTTTACAGTTATTTTGAAAATTCAACTTACTTGAAACACCGGACTTTATTGAGCCCCAACCGGATATTGTGCACAAGCGATTTTCTGCCAGCGCTGCCCCCTTGTTCGGCAGACAGACCGGTTGAATGTAATCGTTGAATTTTACCGGCGTCTTCAGCACAACCACGGCAATATCATTGTTCATATGGGTGGCATCACGGAACTTCTCGTGTACATACCAATTCTCAATGAACGAATCGACCTCCGAAGATTCTGCTATGTTTGCATAGTGATCACCCATGCGTACAAAGTAGGCGCCTTTTGGATAGCCAGCGAGACAATGAGCAGCAGTTAACAAATGCCTGGAGGAAATTAATACCGCGCCACACCAATGGCTCGATATGCCGCCCCTGCCTCGTGTGCGTATCGTAGCCTGCCAAGGATGATGACCACGCTTGGCAATACTGCCGTTCACAACACGCTCCTCTGGATGGGCAAATTCATCTAGCAGGTTGTTTTTGAAATGGCCACAACGCCTTTGCTCGCCCACCACCTTGCTCTTGCGCTCCCATTGTTCGGAATATAAGCCAATATCTTCTAATTGTTGTTGTGTCTCATCCAACTCTCTCTGTGAGTTTTCATAATCATTCAACTGTGGCAACGAGATCTCCTTTTGAGGCGGCACACCCAGTGTACACTTTAAGCCAACATCCTCAGTGTGATTGCAATTATGTTCGCCCCATGTAAAATGACTGCACTGATCGAGTGTGGTCTCATTGCCATAGCAAGATACCTGATCCAACCAAATAGGCCCGCTGCCAGGTCCATATTTGTTCTTAACAATAGTCTGGAAAATAATAAAGTTTAATCAACGTTCCAATGTGCAGAACAACAAAATATTACTCATACCGGTGTCCCGTATAAACCCATTGAGTTGCACATAACTTGAGCCTCCTTGAAGCCGAAATCATCATCACATATAGTGCCCCACTCACCACGATATCTTACTTCGAGCCGTCCCTCATTCGGGCTACGTCCACCCTCCAGCCGATATTTTATGGGAGACTATAAAACAAATTATACAAATTAACATTTGAACACAGATGCTTTTATAAACCGGAGTTTCTGCTGATTTCGTACATTGCAAACATTCTCACTCTCATCCGATTTATCAGCACAATCTGGCGTATTGTCGCACACGAACGCCGGTGGTATACACTCTTGTGAGGTACTACATAGCCAATATTTGTTGGGACATTTAAGTTGCGGCACCTTGCAAACTACACCGACCACTTCGTCCGGTCCACAATTGCTAACTCCCCAACCTTTAAAGTTGCATTCTTTTAAAGACGTTTCATCGCCGCGACATTCGACTTCGTCCATCGCGAATGATACATCCCCTGTTGTTGGTGGGTAATATGAAAAGCCACGCACTTCGCTAGCTCCCAATTTGAAGCCCAGTTCTCGGCACACCACTTCAGCATCACTTAGACCAAACTTGTCATCGCACACATACCTCCATTTTCCAAGTACTGTCAAAAGTATAAAAATACGTAACGTAATATCCGAAATGAATAATTTCGATAAGGATGATAAGGGCTTATGCAAATACTCGTCTATTTACGCAACCATGACCGATTTAAAAATAGATAGAAAGGTATGTACCTAGGACAGCATCCAAGATTTTCTTCAATCTATTTCTTCACTCTGAAACGATCAACAAATATCCGAAATTTATAACAAACATACTCGTACATACAAACAAGGTACGGACAACTACATATACTTGAAGGCATAGAAATCGAAAGAAAAGAAATTGGGAAAAACTGGATTAAATGTTAGTGATCCTACAATAACAGTTCCAATCATCTGAAAGAGGTCATGGTGTTTAGTAGTGTGTCGTAACATCTGAAGCCCGAATCGATTGAGGAACATAACGGCACCAGACTGTTATATTCAAAAAATACTTACTTTTAACCTCAATACGCCCCATGTTTGAACTTTCGCCATCAGTCAGACGCACTTCGTAACCCAAATGTTTGCAATCCTCTTCATCCTTTCGATTGCCACAGTTATTAATACCGTTACAAACCTAAGGGAAAATATTTTTAAATTATAACAGACTCTATGATGATGGATTTACTTATACTCACCTCATGAGACTTTACACAATTTCCATTTCCGCAATCAAACTGACAATCAATATCTCCTGCACTCTCATTTATCCCGGGTCTCACACTAAATGGAGTCGTGTACTCTGCATGTGGATTTGGTAGATTAGTATTACTTAACTCAAAATTGGTTGTGGTCTGTGGTGATTCGGGTGTTATAAACGGGTTTAGTATTTCGGGGTGTCTCTGGTGATATGCCCTATTATGATTGTGTCGATGATGTGTATGAGTACTTGTGTGTTCGTCCTCATTAAAGGAGTTAATTAAATTTGGATGTTTACGATGAAATTCGCGACTATGTCCGTGATTGTGCCAATTCAAATTAGTCTTCGACTCTTGTCTTGTATTTTTCGAATAAAATTCAGTACGTGTATCGTGTGTGCTATTCTGGGTTGGGACTGTGGTCAAACTGTGTTGTTCACCTGCAAGTATAAGTTCAACCTCCTTTTCATTTTCAGCACCAACTGGCGAGTTTTTGCTAGTTTTATCTGTTGATGAAGTTATGACGGATGTGTGTGAAGTAAGTTTGGGTGAGAGTTTCATTATATGACCCTCGACATGATCGGCATTTTCTTCCGAAATTGTGCCGCTACGATTAAAATAGGGACGCAAAAGTAGGCGTAAAGCATCAGCCATAAGTACATCTTCAGAAGTCTGTACGTCTTCCCGATCGACGGACTTTGGTGGACTTGCATGTGCAACATTTGAATATGAACCACTATAGTGGGGATCTTTAGGGAACATTTCTAAAGTTGTATTCTCTAGAAAATTGTGTACAGGCTTTAAACGAGTAGAAACCGTCGAATATGATCTAGTTGCAGTTGCAGCTGCAGGTGTGGGTAATGCAGGCGACTGAAGGTAAGTTGCAGGTGTACTCGTACTAATGTCAGTTTTATAAACATTAATGCTTGAAGGAGGAGAAAGCAAATGCGGTTTTCCCTGAGCATTCGTGCTGAAAGCTCTGATAGGTTCAATTTCGTCTATGGATCTACCCAAGGGTCGACCTTTAGTTGGATATGATGGCTCAAATTTGTGAATAGGATTTGAAGCATACGACAAAGGACTTTGAGGGATCGTGGGAGCTGGTGGCGGTGGCGGTGGTGGTAGCAAACCGCCATATAGGTTAGAAGAGTCAAAACTGTTATGCGGTATAAATGTTGGACCGTCCGCCGTAGAACTATGAGGATGTCCGGGTGTAGGCGTAATATAAGATGCTGGAGTAAAAATATTTTTTGGTGGAAAATCTTGCGCTTCAGTTTGCGGCTCCTCAGTGCGCTTCGGTGGCAAAAGCACTTGATTAGGTATTGGAATCCATTTGTTCGAAGTTTGTTCAAAATTAATTTCTTTTTTATTAAATGGGGAATGGTTTGAGGATTGTGTAGGTATTTTGGAATCATCAAATACTTCCTCAGTGTTTTCTTCAGACCCAACAGGTTGTGCATAGTAAATGTTTGTTGTCTCATTTGCAAATATTTTACTATTAACTGATGTAGCAGGTACGGACTCAGGTTTGAAAGATGCTAGAGGAGTTGTATATGTGCTGAAAGTATTATAATTACGATTTGGTTGCAGGGAGCCTTCTTCATAGATGACGCTTTGTGCGGGCCTTTGTCGATCAATTGCAGAGCCAGAAGCGATCCAATTATTTGAACTACTGTGCTGTTGTAATTCTCTGCCGTGCGTAGGTGGACGTTGTTGTCGATCGGCTATATATGGACCACCGTAAGTTATGTCACTAGGTATAGGGCGCTGCACATCCATGTTGGACCAACGATCTCCATAGCTGCCCGTTTGAGTTGATGTCGTTGGTAAACCGTTGCCATAAGCTTGTCTATTGTTAGCAGTTCTTTGCTGAGGAGAAATACTATGCTCATGATGTTCCTGCCTAAAGCCGATTTTTGTTGAGTCCCGGTGGTTCGGTTGAGTTGGCGGTGGTGGGTAGTTTACGTTAGGATTATTACCATGAACGTTGTGAGCTGTAACGAAATAATTCGGCTTTTTAGTATGAGTGGTTATTTATTCAGACTATTTTTGATTCCAAAGGTATTTTTCAAAATCGAACCTAATTAAGTAAAGGTATTAAAATTCTGGCAAATTTAGGAAAAATTGGGGCAATATGTCCAAAAGCACAACATTTTCGTTTCTCCATATATTTCAACTTCAAATAATTTTCTTCCGAGTTATTTATAACACATTAACATTACATTAATACCTTACTACTTTTTGAGGAACTTTGCCTGTGTCACTTACTATCTGAACAATCGACATTCTTAATAAAGTCGCAAGTTTCCAGTTTTGCATTCCAGGCAGTACCGGGGCCACAATCTTGTATATTTGTTATGCCATTATCACAATTAAGAAACTTTCTGCAATCCAGAGGATGAGGATATATACCAGTGGCTCCCTCAGGACATGTAATGGGGTGCATACTGGGATCTATATGAGGTTTACGAAAAGCATTATATTATAATACATAGCGAAGGTATCTTTCACAGCACACATTTCACCTTTGTCGTGGCCCGAAGCTATATTAATTTGCGCATTTTGCGAGCAGTCAACTTTGTCTTTAAAATCACACACCTCAAGCGCAGCATTAAAAGCTGTACCGGGACCACAATCCATTACATAAGTAATGCCGTTGTCACATCGCAAATATTTCGTGCAGTCCGTTGGATGAGAATAAAGACCTGAAGCGCCAGATGGACATGCTTCTGTTTGAGCGGTATGTTCTAAGCTGAGGGTGTGAGTACCAGAACCTGTCATATCTACGGCTCCCCACTCAAGGTTGTGGTCATAGGCGCCAAAACTATTATCAGCGATCTGCCCAACTGAACTTAACCACAAATGATCAGTGTCTTTTGCTTCGGTAGAGGCTATACAAATCTTATTTGATAAGCTGAACAACATATTCGGTGCACAGTTCTGTATGATGGTATTACCGGCCTTGCATTCAATAAATAGTAAGCCGTCAAAAGGATAAATAAAGTAACCAAGTGCGGATGCCGGACAGACGACGTAATTATAATGTAGGGCTGTAAGTTCGGCAAGCTTTAGCTTAACTATGGTAGTTATTATCTGTAGAAATACTCACTTATATCCGTGATATACTCTTGAACGCACATTACATGATCTAAGATATTGACTTGCTCTTCGGAGAGACATAATCTCCTTGAAATACTGAACACACTTCCCGGTGGGCAGCTTTGTAAGTTAGTGTCGCCATTTCTACATTCAATGTATTGATATGGATTAAATGGCTGCAAGAATAAACCTTTTGCATTAGATGGACATGACACCTTGTCCTCTGTAAATGTACTCTTAGCGGTTGTATGTAACTTCGTGCGTCCCGTGCAATTTACAGCTTTCTCAAAGTCACACACTTCCATCTCAACACTCCATGCAGTACCTGGACCACAGTCCTTGATATCAACTATACCATTGGCACACGAAACGAATTTTCTGCAATCTTGTGGATGCGGATACATTCCCATCGAATTAGGTGGACATGCAATTTGCGCGCCCTCAATCTCGTCCACAGCTAATAAAATGTTTCCTGTGAGTATTTGGACAACACTTTAAATATAGAGACAAACTTACTTTTACCTTCCCTTATTATATTTGTGCTGCCTGGGACCCAGTGGTTTTCATTTAATGTATTATAACTTTTTCCACTATCGTATTCGTAAACTTTCCGTTCATAGTCGCAGTATTTTCTAGCTTTACTGAAAATCATTCCACTTATGCAATTCTCAACGGTTGCATACCCATCTACACATTTTATATACTTCGTATTATCATAAGGATGTGGATAAAGTCCGTCAGCACCCAAAGAACAGTTTGGCACATACAACTGATCTAAGAAGATCAAGATATATATATGTATTTATTTATCTTGATTTTATCCAAAATTTGTGAACTCACTTTTACTTGTCTCCAGTTCTGAGAATTCGTTTGGAACCTCACTTAAATATTCCACACGATCATATGCCTCAACCAGATTACGATTTATACATTCTCTAGCCGATATACTGAAGACTTTATCAGAAATGCAGTTTTCTATTTGCCCTTGACCATCACGACAATACAAGTATTTGGTGCAATCGAAGGGATATAAAAAGAAGCCTCTTACATCTTGCGGACAAAGCGATTGTATGCCTCCTAGATTATTATTAACTGGATGTGGAAGAGCATGTATAAGTTAAATCCTTATCAATGTTATATCTGCATTTATGTGTATGTATACATGAATCCGGTTTACTGATATTAGAAGTCACGAATTTGATGAGTAACTTTCTGTTCCTACATTCTCCACCACTAAGCTATTTTATTTCATATTAGCCAATCTAGAGGTCTGGGACGCAGTAAGTCTTTCTCTAGTTATAGTGGTTACGATTGGTAATTTTCCGACAGATACAATGTCGAAATTTTCTAGAAGAATGCTAAGGAAACCCGTCATGCTTTTGCGAGAGAAAGTTCTCATATTGTTCAAGTGTAATATCCGGATCAATAATCAGCTATTAACACGTTACCTATATTTTAAACTATAAAAACTGATCCTTCAACTCCAGTTAGTACAATACGTAAGAAAGATTTGTTGGACAACGCAGTCTACAGGTTTATAACGAGGTCTCGACAGCTAAATTGGAAAATCAAACAAATATCATCGTTCGAAATACAATTTAGTTGAAGGAGCAAAGTTTCGGGAATCATACATACAAACACATATACACGTTTAGTCAAACCACTCACAGTAGTCATAATCTGATTCAGATGTCCTAATCTGGCCAATATCAAACGATAGTTGAACCTGTTCAGTATTGCCAACCAAATCTTTTGGATCACAGTGTTTTGATGACAAACTGAAAACATAACCCGAAACGCAGGTCTCTATAGACAGCCTACCGTCAATGCATTGCAGATATTTTTTGCAATCAAAAGGGTATGGATAGAGGCTAGATTGACCTTGAGGGCATTCAGGCAACTCATTCATGTAGTTGAGTGCTGCATTCCTGGCTAAAGTCGAATTGGAAGTGTATTTTAAAGAAAGTGACAATTTTAATTACTACAAACTTACAATCAGTTGTATCGACGTTGTGTCGAAGCTCCCAAGCATTTCGTACGCGATCGGCGATATTCACTTGAATTTCAGGCAGACATCCCCTGCGAGATATACTAAATACATTTTGCGGTGCACACTCGATGATACTCATGTGTCCTTGTTGGCAGTTTATATATTTAGTGAAATCATATGGATATAAATGTAGACCATCAGTGGATGGTGGACAACTGATCATTGTGAAAGCTGTGTAAATTACGAGATTTATGAGTTTAAGCATAAAATTCGAGTAGGGGATCTTCTACTGCGCACTTACAATATTCGTAGCGAACTTCGGACACTATGTAAGCGACGTGGTCGGTATGCGGCACGTTCTCCTTGGATTCACAGTAACTCCTCGATATGCTGAACGCAGTTCCCGGAAGACAGTTTTGTATCGCCGTGTTTCCATTTTTACAATTTATAAATTTGGTGTAATCAAAGGGATATGGAAAGTGTCCAGACACGCCGGGTGGACAGAATATATCACCTTCTTCTTTTTCCATTCCTCTTCCCAACTCGTTCTGCTTAACATTTGTGTCCACATAGTTTAAATTGGCTTAAAGGCAATCGATTATTTTTCATGAATATTTCATCATGTTTATATGTATACATAATAAATATATAAACATATATTAAGTAATAAGTATATATGTAAATATTTTATTTCTAAGAGGAAGCAAAAGCATAAATGGATGATGAGCAATGATTGTTTTTCATTTCTTAAAAAAAATTATTTAAGTGACTCAAATGAAAATGGTTTTTGATGGCATGCATTCAAAGCGTTTATATATTTGTTTTTTTTTTTTGGTGGTAAAAATGCAGCAGCATAATGCGTTGAGTTGCAACGATGGATAAGCGAGCACCATTCATTTAAACTCACATTTGGCTTTAATTGTCGTTTTGCAGTCAACATTTTGCACGTAGTCGCATATCGATTTTACTCGATCGAACGCTGTACCAGGTCCACAGGATTGTACCACCATCTGTCCGTGCGCACAATTGAGAAATCGAGTGCAATCGTAAGGATGTGGATGTAAGCCACTCGCACCCGCAGGACAAAACACTTATTCAATATATTTTAATATTAATTGTTTAAACTCACTTGTGAATACCCTTAACCTATCTATGCTCATATATATTTGAATATCATTTGTTTTGATATACTCTACAAATTTCTAAATTTCATTAAGACTGATGTCAAAAAACCAATATACCATCTGATCACTTGATTGACTCGGACTGTTCCATTTGATCTGCGCGCGTAAGTCAAATCAAGAAAAATTGTTTCCTAGATTAGTACAACCTTTTTTCGTGTCCGTGTGAAATTTGATCTTCAAATGTCAATGAGTGTGTTTGGCAGCTGTTTGTTTACGACGCGAACAGTTTGCCTGGTAATTTTTACCTTGTAAAAAAATTTTTTGTGTTCCAATGGAATCACGGCATCGGTGACAGTTTTGCGGAAGTGTCTGCGGGAGTCTGCTTTATCACGAAAACAAGTATTAGAGTGACACAAAGCATGAAGCATGAGCGTGAAGTCATCGAAAACTTGCCTCATGCGAATCGTCCATCCACCTCTGATAATGAAAATAAAGTCGAAAAAATTAAAGAAACAGTGCTTGAAAAACATTGTGGTGGCTTCAGAGAGATAGCAGCGGATCTTAATATATCTTATGGAACGACTCAACACGTTTTTGTTAATGTGAAACATGTCAATGCTAGACTCATACCCAAAGACCTGATTCTTTTACAAAAATTAGAGGTCATAAAGTGATATTTGATGCTTGACATCGTAGCTGAATACCCTACATTCATCAAATGCATCACTACTGATGATGAGACCAAAAATTAACCGAAACCGAAAAAATTAATCGTTGACATGTTTGTATTGGCCCAAAATGAACCTATAATAAAGATTTGTATTAAAATATGTTAACCTTTGGGTTTTTTGTTCGTGTTTTTGTTTGTTTGCTCAGATGGTATATGTGTAATATACAGTCTCAGATGGAATTTATTATAAAGTCAACTTCAAACAATATTTTGATTTTGAAAAGTTAGCAGCATAAGCGGACTTGTAGTCTTAAATGCAACGCCATGTCTTTGTAAGAGGTATTCCCAAATTTTTTTTAATTTTTTATTCTATATACGGTATTTAAATTTGTCATAACAGACTAAGTCAAGTCGCTAAGAGAAGTTACGAGTATGCCACAAACAAAGAAGGAATGGAATTTCACTAACTTCATATACTACAAATGTATACTTTCTTTGTGTATTAATTTTACTATATTAAATATAGAACTCGATAGCATGTAAGTACATACCATACTGACGGCTATCACGGCTATTCACTGCTCCGTAAGCCGAATTCTCACGATCACTGCAATCAACATTTTCCTTAAAATCGCACACCTTCTTCGATGCGCTAAACGCAGTACCGGGTCCACAGTTTTGTACGTGGGTATTGCCATTAGCGCAATTCAAGAACTTCGTACAATCGGTTGGATGTGGCGCCAATCCACTAAAGCCGTTGGGGCAAAGAGATTTTACACTATCTGTGTTTGCGTCTATTAAACGTCCAGCGCGATATTTGTTGTGCTGAGGGGTGCTCTGCTGCTCTCTGTGCTCTCCATTTGTAAGCGCACTACCACAAACAACTTTGTCAGGCCGATCGCATTCAAGAGTTTCAGGATTAAAGACCGTACCGGGACCACAGCTCTGTATGTGACCGCGTCCATGCAAACAGTTGACAAATCGCCGGCAATCATAAGCATACGGCACCGGCCCTGTATGCTTCGGCGGACAACCAGTGCCATAATCTGGTATTGTGCTCTCTACGCCGCCCAAAACGCTGTCTCTGCGCTCCGAGCGCTGTGACGGCAATGCTTGACGCACATGTGCATTGCGATTAAATAGCGGTAATTCGCGTTGTTGATAAGAGTCGGTTTGTTGTTGATGTTGCTGTTGTTGCTGCTGTTGCTGCTGATGTTGGTGGCTGTGTGAGGGATGATGTTGAATGCGAGGTTCATCATAGTGTTGGTATGAATTAGTTGGCGATAACCTCACTGAACCGGCACCGTAATTTCTATTGGAAGTGGGTTTGGGTTCATACGACTGCGCATTGGTATATGGCTCCTGCTCTGGATAAACTCGATGATAGTTTCTTGTCTTTATACCCGTAAGAGCTGGGTCGTAGGTCTGTAATTCGAGGTTTAATATTTATTTATAATGTTAGAAATAGTTAAAGAAAAACATTCGGGATAGCAGTGTCTACAAGATTTTAAAATAAAATCAACGGATTCACCAGTTCTTTACGATGTACTTTGATTCTCGGATCGCAGACACAGATGGTTAGTAAAATAAATAGTATTTCAGAGTTTTAATAGCAATTGCTTGTTTTGTACATATTAAAGCCAAGCTTATTCAACTTTTAAAAATGTCGAGGTTTCTAAAAAACGTGTTATTTTCAATGAAGTAAAAATTTTAAACACCACTATTTTTATCAGAGAATAACTACTTAAAGTGCAGTGGTGCATTGTTGCAGTAAAGGATAATCAGTTGGTTTATGTCTCTGCCGCTTGCTATGACTCAAATACTTAGAATATTAAAGCCGATATTGATGCGTACAAACGCTAAGGGCTGAGTAAGCGATTTAAAAGCAATTTAATCTCTTGACGCATGAAACTCCCACGCTACTCGTTTTACTTCGTCATCATACGCGGTTTATTTTATGATAATAGAGCTCAGACGACAGCAGCCTTTCAAAGCAAGGAAATGTTATGCATTTTTAAGCTCTACTTGCAAATTGGGAACAAAAATCAAAGCATACATTAAGGCTTCGGTTAAGTGTGATAAAAACTTGCGTAAATTTAGCAAGATATTTAACAATAATTAGTCTAATTTCCATATATATGGTATGAGGGCAATACAAGTAGAACTCCCGTTTTTCAACAAGCCGCTTTACATTTAACAAATACACTGTTTGGTATACCCCTTGGACGTACAAAATCAAATCGCCGACAATGGTGATAAGAGATTTCGCTTGACCCAAATCTAACCTTATAGAGGCAACGTAGACAAACTCATACAATTTATCCCAGCAACGCTTACAAGTCAATATAATTGATGTTAACGCACAGATGCAGTCTTAAATAGTACTATTTAAATAATATAAATTATATATCCTGCAGAGAAATAAGCTGCTCTTGCATATATATTACATTTGCATGTAAATATATACATATAAGCATAACAAGTAAATGTATATTATGTACACTTCTTAAACCCAAATATACATATACAAGTATGTATGTACATATATACTTGAGGAAATGAATGTTTAATTTTTTGTAACTCTGATAATGTTCATCGCATATTTATTTAACCAAAAACTATGTATACTACAACATATATAAGATACGTATGTATGTATATGCATATGTTCATATATACAAATAAGTACTTACACCCTTAGTGATAACGATGTGAGTCGCGCAAATAAGAATCCACAGCTTCGACATCATTTTCACTCCAATCATAAATACTTTCTTTTCTAAGTTTTGCGTTTTTTCACTTACAAACACTGCTTCATATTAAATATTTCACACATACATATTTTTTCACAAATTTTTCGATAGGAAACGAAATTAATTCACTATTTTTTCTAAATATTTACAAAGGCACTTACATAAGTATCTTTAAGGGCACTTGTACGCAACAAATTGCTCTACTAGTCCTTTATTAATTAAATTTAGCTAACACAGTATATCATATATATATATATATATATATATAGTATATTTTCCAAGAATCTTTTAGCCAAATCGCACTATATTTTTCAAAACAGAAACACGAAAATTCCCATGTACTTTTAGGCAATAAAGTTCGTGTTTTCCCAGCCGACAGTATTTGCGTTTTAAAAGCAAACAGACGGTTTTAATTTCAATTAAGCGTCCGCCGCGCAGTATCTCATGGTAGAGACAATTAAGACTGCGCCAGCGAAATGAGAGCAAAATTTGAATCATCTGGAAGAATATATTGTGATTGTATATGTGAGTGTGCATATAATTATGTGTTCGGGATAGCAAAGCAGGAGCGCGTAAAAGCATGATGCCCTGCCTATAAAGAATTTTAAATCGCTTGCTCTTTTTATATTGCTCATTTTATATGCGAAACTTAAAAAATTTAATATAGGCAAATAAACAAAATTATTTTGTTTAAGCTACAATGTTTTGACTTTGACTAATCAGCATCGATTATCGCCAGTGGCAATCTCTAGACCTTTCTGCTGCACATACCAACATACATAAGGGTTCTTATCAGAGACATTGGAGATTTATGTAAATGCATTGAGCTAAATAAGGCGCTTCATCCATCCGATAGCAAAATATATACGTATGTATAAACATTTATTTATAGCATATGTATTTGCATTATCTTTTTTGAGTGTATAGTAGTATAACAGTTCTAAATTCCATATGTAATAGGCATTACATTTAAAGAACTTTCTTGGTGAATTTATATTTAATAAAGTAGCAGAGAAATTATATTTTCTCCTCTGTTGCAAAAATAAAATAAGTAAGCAATCAGATGTTATCATTTCAAAATATATACTATTTGGCATGCATTTTTCCTAGACCTTTTTAAATATTTATAAGTATGCATATTTTTGTGTACATACTTGTTGATATAAAAGATGCGATAATTAAGCTTATTTCAAGATTTGTACCTTTTATGATGTATATTTTCATTAAACTCACAATTTAGGATTTATTTTACATCGTACAATAATTGTTTACTTACAAATACATATAATTAAAAGTTAAACGCAACACTGCGGAAAATAAACAATATCTATTTCGACCTAGTCTCATTTTGTGTTACATTTGTACTTTTTTCCACAGCTTTTTGTTCGCTTGTTGAGGTTACTGCTTTCATCCTCAGCCATATTCTTTCATAAGGATTCGCTATTTCTGAATTCGTATGCGGAATACCAACTGAACGTCGCACAACAGGTGCAGTGAGCAGCAGATTTTGCGCTAAACTGTAACTACTTGAAGCAACCCAGTATACACAAAGAGCCTAAAATAAAATTGACACAGTTGATATTTAAATAAAATTCCGAAATCGCAGTATTTTACCGATGGCACAGAATAGGCCACAGGAACCATTGCGACGGTCAATACACGAAACACGTTGGTTGCATATTTTTGCAAACGGGTAGTGGGACGGTTTCGTAGAATAGTTTGCATCTAAAATAAAATTTAATTTTTAAGACTTTTATATGTATTACAGCATAAAATCGCTTACTTCTATTATAGTCAAATTTATTACACCTAAGGTGACGGGCAAAATATATGAGCTGTCGACTTCTGTTAAATTTGGTATCCAACCAAAACCACCGATAGTCATCTCTGTATAAATAATTTGTGCCTGTAATGTTGTTGGATCAGGCATCATATGAACAAGATTTCTTAATGCTACTGATTGACATATCCATAACGGTATTTGACACCATAGTACGATAAATGTTTTTGCCGGGTGACAATTGTCCCGCACTACCAATGCATTCCACTGTTTTTTCAACTAAAATTATTAAATTCAAATTATAAATTCATGTGTACCCTTTAACTTACGCACCGACCGATTATAAACTAGTCTGGTTTGTTTCTCAGTCCAATTGAATTTTTTCATAGCTACTGCCGCCTCTTTTTTTAGCTCGGCCACAATTGCTGGCATTTCTAAAGCCAACAACTCTAATCGCGCCATAATTTTATGCTGATATATTGCCAATGGTAATGTTATTAGTGTGCGAAAGAGTATTGTGGATATAACAATGGAGGCCCACCAAGGCAATCCACTGTAGTCATGTATCGTTGTCAGTGTATCCTGCATATATGCTACTGGTGTACTTTGTGAAAGTGTATGCCAAATTCCTGTAAACGGTGAATGGACTTGTGTTGCAGCTAGAGTAGGCGCACTTGTAACTTCCGAGAGACTGCGGTGTTGTATCCCTTTCAAACATGTTCTTAGTGAATTGCGATTTGTGTCCCCAAACAATTTTTTTGAAAAACTACTACTTGATCCAAAATACGATGATGTACGCCCACATATAGAATATTGGCGGTTGTGGCGAATATTTGGAACTATTTTATTTTGCAAACTTCTAAGAAGTAACATGTTTTATTTATAACTAAACAGAACGAGTGTACTATTATACGAAAACAGAAGCAAAACAAAAAACAGCTGATAGATTATAGACCACTGATGTTTTGACATTTCTTTGAAAGAAGTATTGGAAAGCGTTACTTATTTATAAATATACCTTTAAACTGTATAACTGAACAATCACTATCTGGAAGTTAAAAATTTTGAATTATCGCAAATTTTTGTATGATTTCGCATACAAGTCAATATATATCGGGAATATTTAATTTACGAGATATCTTTGTAAAATGAAGTAAAATAGCACTGTTTTATATATGGGTTGTAATTTGAGTTAGTATTAAATTTCAAAAGTTCGTAATGAATTTTGAATAAATTAAATTGACATTCATACGTTTGAAACTTTAAAGTTTAAATCTTAAATTTTTAAATATTTTGCTATGTGTAGACGAAGCATTATTTTATAAATTGTCTGGCAATATTGTGTTTATTTTGTCGAATATGAGTTGATATAAAATGAAAAATAGCTCATAAGCAAATCTAATGCAGAAAAATAAAAAGGTATTTCGCAAAAGACGCATTAGGAAAGTCGTTTCAGCACAAATTAAATAAAGAAAATTATTAAAGGGCGAAACAGGTTGAAATACAAACGGTAAGCTAACATTTTTAAATTGAACACAATTAGAAAGAAGTAATAGAAAAGTGAAACTCGAAATTTTTATTGATTATCAAAATTTTTAGTTTTCAATTTTTGAGCAATTCATTTTTGCGACGTTATTTGTGTGTCGTTTTGCAAAAAAAAATACAAAAACTATTGAAATTAGAATACACAAAAAACAATTTAAATCCGTTGCATAGAAAAATAACGTTTAATAATATAATTTTCAATTAACGGTAGTTAGTTGGCAGATGTGACGAAATATTGAACCCATATTTTTTGTTGTAGTTGGAGCTGCGAAACCAGACGTGTAAAAATTAAAGGGACAGTGACGCACTTTCAGGCAAAAAGTGGGACTACAATAGACTCGATTAGTGCTGAGTTTGGTCCTAGTCATGAACCGCTGTGTCTTACCAGCATGGGATCAGATACCCTTTCTCGTGTTGGGTAAAATATATAACTACCTAGAACCACAAGATCGATTAAACGCGTCGCAGACGTGCCGTCACTGGCGTGGGGTGCTCTTCCAAAAGAGGTGTGTATCGCAAATATGAGTAAAAGATAGATATCAAATATTTGTAAAACTTGTTTACATAGTTGGCAAAAAATAAAATACAAGTTGCCTTACCTACAAACCAATTAGTATGTAATCGTATAAACATTATTGTACATATGTATTTAAAACTTATTAGTTCAAGCTGTTCCTATATTCGGTTCGGTATACCGTTTCATAAATTATAGTCTTTCAGACTTTTTTTTACACTCGTAAATAATAATGTCGTAAAATGCATTTTCAGATTTTTCAACAATTTTAAGTTCACATTGCACATAAACAATGAGCGGCAATACACGTTTTTTCGCCAAACCCTTTGTAATTTGGCAACTGAAGTTACCATTAATTTTGACTTTATGAACGTTTTCCATATAGAGAAAGTTAGAAAAATTCTATACAGGTATGTACGAATATAAAAAATCGATATTCAAATATAGTTTCTCTAGCGAATATTTTCTTCATTTATAGGATCGCACGTTGTAATAATCTGCAAGGTTTACATTTCTCCACAAGTAATATGGGAATAATCGCCCCTGGTATTAAAAATAAAGAGAAACTTATCGATATTGAACAGTAGGAAAAAATATAACATATTTCAACGATCGAATTTGATAAATTTATTGTATTTGTATTTACAGATGTTTCATAGAGCCTCTAAAAATGTTCTTAAATCGTAAAAATTCTCCATGTCAAATATTGGACTTAGGTGCGATTGAAGCTTTAACCTTCTATGGCTTAGAAATACTAAAATCCTTAGGGAAACCTGACGCATTGCTGCAGTTAACACTGGCTTCAATTAAATTCGATTCCTGTAATTATACCATACCTACCATAGAGCCTTCGTTGTTGCAAAAATGCTCTTCACTGCAGGTGCCATTTTGAGAATTCATGAATTTATCTAACTTATTTCGCTTAATCGCTAATGAAATGTTTTATCTATTTACTTTTTAGGCTTTATCGCTCGATTACGATTGTTTAAATGAGAATTTATTGCATGCCATGGAATTACTACCATTGAAAAAGCTGTTAATCTGTATTCACAGTGTAAATCGTCAACATCCTGGTATATCCGATACATCTTGGGCTAGATTTGGAGCTACTTTTCCCAATATCGATTTGATTGTGTCATTAGTATACGCATTTGAAGCGGTTGAAGTGCTACAAGTACGCATACTGCGACGTAATATGCCAATAACACATTTGCGCGTGCTATTTTGTGACATTGTAAGATAATGATAGTTTCAAATTTTTATTTACATGTGTTTATCTTTATATAAATATATTATAAAGCAAGTTCATATATTGTTTTAGATGAACGCAGAGGCCTTAGAATGGATGTCTATCAATAATAGCAACACGCTGAAGAGCATACAGTGGATAGATTCTGTAAGTATATTTTTAATAATTAATAAATATATTTTATAGTAATGTATTTTATAAAAAAAAATGTCCAGGCTTACAAACATTCCAATAAAAATGTGATGGATTTGTTTATACGCTCCGGTCAAGATCCCTTCGTTATGATGGCATGGCGTTGCAAAAATTTAGAGGAAATCGTAATACATGGCTATGTTATAGATCCTCATAATATTGTTGGTATGTCACGTCTCCGCGGCCAATCCCTTAAGCGCCTAGAAATTTCAATGATTGACGAAACTCCAACAGAAGCGAGCATGGACTCATTCATTGATGTAAATTCGTAATTTCATTTTATAAAATATTGCAATATTGTAAATATTTCGATTTTTATTTAAAGGAAATCAATACATTGCTTGGCCACAAATGGGAACCCATACCCCCAAATAAATTACATCCGGCACTCGGATACATACCAGTGACAGATGATGTACGTGATAAATACGTCTTCGATCTCATGCGTCGTGATATGGGCTATTATGATTAATTGCAACAACTTAAGCGAATTTAGGTGAGTTTATATTTCGTTTTGCGTTATACGTAGCAAGTAAAAGCGTACAAATTATTTTAGGTTAACTATAGATTTATAACGAACAGTAAAAGTATGTAACGTAATACATATTCATTAAAAAGAACAAAACTACATATATGAGAACTCAAACGACGTGCTTAGCGAAAATACCTTAACAATGTGGCTTCACAGAAACAACAGCAACAACCAAAGTAAAACTAAAAGTTGAAATATAAAAGCATTGCAGTGATACTTTTTAATATCTTTAAATCACATATTATGCGTTAATGCGAAAGAGAGAATATTGGTAAATTCAAACAACTATCATTTGAAAAACCATAGTGGAAAGCAAGATTTAGTATAAAAAAATCACAAAAAACGAAAAAATGTGGAAGCATCAAAACTCAATTACCTACATTACTATATAAATAGATATCTTTAGGCGATTATAGTTTAAGAAGAAACAATAACAACCACTCTTGTGATAAAAGGGGGACAAATTAATTTGTATTTAAATATATGACATTGACATTGACTCAAATGAAACACAAACCTATCAAAGATAAACATCCTTAGAAAATCACAAATCGCTCCCGAAGAAAATATTTCGGCAAACAATTTATTTGCAATGGAAACCATAAAAACACATCGATCTATAAAGGTGACGGAATGCCACAACATCTAAAAAAAGCTATGGAAGTCTAACTACACGCCGGACTTATCCTCAGATGATTATAACTCCATATTATTCAAAGCATTCTAATTGTTTATTTATAGTATGAGTATTACACCGGAATAATGTAACAACAAGAACAATGTATTGTAGATTTCACTAAAGCAGCGAAAGTAATTATTTCATAATTTTTATATAGACCTACATATACACACATAAACCAATAAGCATTGTGTTATATACATATGAAAAGCTCACATACATATATTCCATATTATTTTATTTCTTTGTTTTATAAAAAAATAACTATAAAGAATATAATTTTACTTGACTTATACGTTTATATAATTGGGTCACTAAATAACAGAAAAGAATAACAGTTGCATACCTACATAACCTAAAATGGACGTTAATTTCATTTATTGCCAATAACGGAATTATTTAATTCTTGTTTTAATATTCATCCACACGATTTAGAGTTTATTAACTGCAGGAATAATTAAAATTACATTCGAAAATTTTGATTTCAAAACTAAAAAAACGTAAAACTTTTGCTAGTTAATTTTAGTTATTTCGAAAAATATAAATTTTGCGAAAGATAAACATCAAAAGGGATAAAATGTAAATATATAAATAACATCGAATATATAAAAAGAAATACAAAAAATTAGCAACATATTAGGCAAAGGTGCCGTCTTACAATTTCCAAAGGCACCGATACAAAAATAAAAATTGTAACATGTATTTATATTTTTGTGAATCTTTATATAATTAATGCAATTACCAAGCATAATATTTTATAGCCGCATTTTTGTTCACAAAACACATACTACTGCTACAATTATTATAGGCATAATTTAATGGAACACTGCACATTATGAAACTGTAAAGAACAAAATAAGCATGTGCATTTGTTAACTACTAAACGCATTCAAAAGTATATTTTAGACATCAAAAAATTGTTTGAAATGAAACGCTTATTTGTATGTAATTTGTTCAGCGGCAAATGAGTGTTAAACTTTTTTTTTAAGAAAGCTGTATATTTATGTAACTGTGTGTAACCATTCTACAAATGTAAACGAGATTCAAAAGACTTAAGACCATTATGAATGTGATGATGAAGAACGAGCGAAAGTTAATTTAAAGTTGAAACGACGCAATTCATGGAATTCGAATTGAAGTGAATGGAAATCTCTAAGAAAAAACAAACTGAACAAATATTGAAAAACAAACAACAACATTAATATTTTGTTTAATGTGAACCAAAGCTGTGATTTTATGCAAGCCAGCATACGTTAAGAATGCAACTACAACAAAAAACGACAAACAACAACAACAACAACTAAAATCCATTGTAAGATGAAGAACAAATATTATAATTAAAATGTTTAGATTAGTTAAGTAAAAATCTGTTGACAGCAATTAACAAACAAATATTGATATGTATGTGCGTACAGAGAGCAGAGAGCTAAATTTTACAACAACATGTGTTAATAAATTTTAAAGCTTAATAGAAAGAAAGCCTTATACCACAAACAAAATGCACTTTTACAAATAAATGTTCGAATAATCCAAAACATATCTTTAGAAAGGAAAAAATTTAATTAAATTAGTCAACTCGAAGCAGAGCACTGGCATATGTTTCGAACAACTTTTAAGTACATATAGTGTGCCTGATAAATTTTCAAATTACATTTATTTGACTTATCTGTTAATTTTATAGCATTCCAAATCTTTTTATAAGCCTAAGAGCATTTTACAAAAACTATATACACATTTTTATATCAGCCAGAATCAGAAATAAAAATCTCTTAATACCACAATTTTGGATGATTATAAATACGGGCCGTTCCGAATTACATAGGCCGAACTTGTCATTACCAAATTGTAATTGCTTTTTTATGATTATAAAAATATCTTTAAAGGGCACAACAAAGAATAAATGTCTTTTTTATATGTAACTTACAAATGTCACCTTTACCTGTGTACTGTTATTTACCATTTACTAAATAAGGTCATCTAAATTAGTATTATTACAATTATAATTTATTTTAATTGAAGCTCTCTGCTCAATCAAGCAGAAATATGTTAGTTACCTTTACATAATAAGCTCAAATGTCAACAATGCTCAAAAGATGCTGGTAAAGTGTGCATATTTGTTTGGAAGTAGCCCACATAAAGTGTTAGAAGTGTATATAAAACCAAATTTAACAGCATAAACCTGTTTTTAAGAACCTTACGCGGTACAAACTTAGAAAAAATTCCAACTACTCAGTACCAAAATGCACGAATAAATAAAGACACACACAAAAGCAGAGTATGCATTATGAAAAGCAAAAAAAAAAACATAAACAACCAACAAATTGTGATGAAAAGTATAATTATGAATATATCAACCAAGTAATTTAGCGAGGAGAGAATTGAAAGACAAACAACAAATTTATTAACAGCTTCTGTATGTCAATAAAATAAGAACAAATGCAGCCAGGGCAAATGGTAAATATTATATGTATATAGTACGTACACAATACAATTGTACCAATGTACTCGTATACGTATGTATGGGCAAACAAATGTACATACATATGTATTATGCAATTTAATTGATATGTGATATGCGTCCGCCATAACAACAATAAGTTAGCGGCAAGCAACAACCTACTACAAAAACAAGCAAACGCAACATCTAAACAAAGAGTGTTTAAAGTGATATTAACTATTTAATTTAAAAAAACAACGTGAACAACAACAACAACAACAACAAATATAGTTATAGCATTGTAAATTGTAAATTGACGAAAGAGCTTTTAATATAGCTTTTAAAGAAGCACAGAATTAAAAACAATCCGAAAGGAAGCAGTATGTGAAGTTTGTCAAATCGATAAATAAACAACATTGTGCTATACGAAATGTTAGAAAAATCAGCAATCAATAAATCGATGTCATTCTTAATGATTATAACTTGAAATCAAACTGCTTAGCAAATAAGAAAAGAGCATTTCATTTACTAGTATTCCACAAGCAAAAACTAAAACTGAACAGCCAAAAAGATTTGTGAATCTATATTCTTATTTTTTGGAATGATTAGCCTTGACTAGCCATAAAAAACACATTGTATATTTTCTTCAACAACTTTCAACATTTTTGTAATTTTGTGCCATAGCAAATTGTTAAGACTCTTACGGACTTAAGGGCTTGTCTTTACAAACGAATTTATTGAGACGATGATGGTATACTTGTACTTAGTAATTGCTCTACACATTTTAGAAATTGAGACTTCGTTCCATTTCAAGAAGACAGTATTACATTCTACATGATTCAACACAAAAAGAACAATTTGACATATACTTGTATGCTAGCACTCATAATGGCGAAATTAAATATTCCATCCAATGAAAGTGCGTGTTGAATACGAATAGACTATTACAGATCCAAAATCATCAAAATGCAAACAAAATACACTAAAAAAAAATACTTTGTCAGTAAATATTAAAAAATTATTTTCGTAAGAAGAAACATCAACAACATTTTCTAGCAACATAACTTTATATGATTGAATCATGACATTCAGCAAATAAGTCGGTTGACAGCTATATATTCTATAGTAAAAATATTGTTAGAGGAAGAGATGCGTAAAAATGTTCCAAAGATTACAGATTCACAATATCTTTGGTTTTCAAAGTTGGGCGAGCTGCACGTACTTTTACATACGTATATGTATCCAATATTTTGGTCCACGTTTGATTTCAATATTTAGGTTAAAATTTTTGGTATTAAAAAACTGTTCAATACTATATAAATGTGTGCTAAAACGGTAACTTTCAATAGAAAAATAATGAATATTTAAGAAAAAAGTTTCTTAAAAATAAAATATATATTATTTTTTATTTCATGAAAATTCTGCTATTTAATGTTATATTTTGTCATTCAAAATTAATGAATTACTTTATAATATGAAAATTGAAAAAATTAAGTAATTTCATATGATTTTATACTTAAAAATTATTAAATAAATTTCTAAATTAATAATACGTTAAAAGCCATTCGGAATTTCATTGTCTTTTTAATTTTATAGCATTTTTGTTTTTCTCTTTTTTTGGCAATATGAGAAAATTAGGTTAGGTTATCAGAGGATGTCAACTCTATCTTGTCGATCTGACTATTATTTGGAACTATATCCATAATTTTGCTTTGAAACAATGGCGAAGCAATAGAACTTCAGTTCTAGTTCATTAGCGGCATATGTATGGCTATTTTCTCTCGACTTATTTTCAAATTAAAGAAAGTTATATAAAATGTATATAATTAAAAAGCCGTTACAATAACTATAGAGTAGAAGAAGTAGAAGAGTATTTTATTGAACAATCCACATTTCATTTTTTTTCTTAATAGTAAAAGCGACATATTCTGTGAGAAGAGATTATAAACCTTTTGGTATGGTCATATAGCTGGATCTGTGAGTGCAGAGATTATTATCATAAAAAACAAAAGATTTTTTTAAACTCCGAACTTCTATCAATTATTCATGATTACATAATTCTAGTTATCTTCTGAAAGATATCGTTTAAATACATCATTTCAATGGATATAATTGTGCAATTAAAGAGATATGTACTTCTGAAATTGAATATGAATAGTGGTAACAAAGGTCGTTAAGACATACAACATACGCTTGTAAGAAAATCAATTTAAGCAAATAAAAATATTAACGACACCGATATACTATGTATGTATGTATATACACAAACACTTGCATCCTTATATATACATATATATATGTATATATACATAATGTAGGTACATAAATAATTGTTATAACAACAACATGAATGATAAGAAATGATAAAATCATTAAGTGGAGCTGTGATAATCAAATTAAGCGGAGAAATAATAAACAACATCCGAAAAATTAAGATTTGAAATATAAATAAGCAAGAGACCCCAGAAAAAACTGATTATACGAGAGCATTAGCATGTATTATGCAATATATAAACGTTACAAATGCTCAGCTCGAATTTCCATAAACTTTAACTGTTAATCGCAATTACATACATATATAAAATGGCGTTAGTTAAGGATGAAAAAATAATAATAATCACATTACGTGCAATTTAAAAAGAGAAAATGAAAGCAAAATCACAATAAGTCGTTATTTATAACTATTATTGTATAAGAAACAAAAATTGTCAAAAAATGTAGTGGTAAAGTAATCAAGTAATGATAAAAAAATAAAAAATTTAGTCAAAAGGAAATTTTAAGCAACTATTTGCATACAAGCGACCGTAAAGATTACTACGAGTACTTTTGTATGTATTAATTCATTAAAAAAGGCTTTCTTTGCCCCAACTCTTCTTTGCACCTACTTTAATTAAGTTTTTCCCCTTTAGCCATTGTCGAAATTTTCCATTGTATCATAAAAACTTTAAACGAAATCGCTTTCAAATATCTATCAAGTATTTATATAATTTACTACCATTACTCAGGTAATTATTTTTGAAAAACTAATTTTCATTGTACAATTTGGAGAAGGTAATGTGAAAATCGCAGTAAAGGATGTATGCTACTGCTAACTGTAGCTTTACGGTCGCTAATGCTTAGGATTAAACGACGCCGCCATTTTTATAATACTTTTCTGCAATATTTTTCATATTATCCGAAAGTCGTTATTACCCAAAACGCTGCATTATTTACTTAAAGTTTTTATATTTTAATTTTGAATATTTATTTATATGTTCCGTTTCTCTAACTGCGATCAGAGCAGCTTATTCCAAGATTGACCTGTGTTCTACGCATTGTCCATATGACTTTAAATAAAATGTAATTTGCGATAGTAATTATAAAGTGTTTTCTTTAATTATGTAATTTTATGATGTAAATAAAAATTTAGTTTGGTTTCCAAAAAAAAAAAACACGTTTTTAAATATATAAAAATAGATAGGTGTTTACAGTATATACAGTGATCGGACCTGGTAGTGAACTCAGTAAGTATTTATAGTTAGTGTAGCAATACATTCTTACATACATATACATATAAGGAACGTTTTACAAAACGACTCATCTCGATTCAGTATTTTTATTCTCAAGGCAGAAATGGAATTATTTCTAAACGAATTTCAAAAACGAACTATAATCATTTTGTTAAGAATCAAACTTACTCCAATCAATTGTTTTGTCAAAAGTCCGATTAGACAAATGACATCATAATGTTTTTGGGTTTATTTCGACTCTTTTGCTTACTTCTTACTAAATATTTTACTTTTGAAAATACTGAAACAAGCTAAGCAAAGTTTAGCCTAAAAGCAGTTTATAAAAGAAAGATAATTTAATAAATTTTGTACCGTAAGCGTGAATCTATTGGATGGATCCGACTAAGCACTTAATTGATAAAAGAGTTTAGTTTTGAGATTTCATCAGCGAAACCGTATTTCAACGTGGTTACTCGTATTAAAACTGTAACAATGACCTTCCATTCGACACCCCACCCTCCAATATCAATCTGATAACAAAAATGTCAGTAGAAAATGTGCGTATTGCTTTAGAGCAGGGAAATGGGGTTTTTGCCATTGTTCTCTCTCACTATTTCTCTCTTTCGCCTAAAGGTATGCTTGCACACAATATATTTTTTTTAGTTGCTCTTGCTCTCGCCGATAAATGACAGTTACTCATACGCACCCTGCACTCGCGATGACAGCTTAAATTAACGCTAATGTTTACATTACCGCTAAGCGAAAAGAGTCTTTTAACAAAAATACATTGGATAACACATAAGTGAATACATAAATATTCGCATAAACAGTTTATTCGCCGCTCATGCTCAATTCTGTAGCAATTGTGCTATAAAGAGAAAAATTCTTCATTGAACTCATTTTGTTTGGGTTATGTCATCCGAAATGTGAACGAATTCACATCGATATATTATATGTATGTTACATATATGCTTGTATATACATAAATATAGTCAGTATGTGTCCTCAGAGTAGTGAAACCGTGAATCAGTGAGTTTGGTGAGCTCTTAAGTAACCGGTGAATAATTGAAACTGAAAATCTGTACGTCTCATTTGGCTGCCGTTGAGCGAAGAAAACGTGAGCACGAAATTTTGTGATAAATTGAAATCTTGAAAATTGTTCAAGTAAAGCAGGTAAATTATTCGTAAAAATTTTATCGCAAGTTTTCTATTTATTTTAAACGACAATAAGAACAGTAAAATCGGTGTGAAACGTTTATAGCTGCAAGTCGTCCCCCACTGCATGTGGAATTGAGCAAATTATTGTGGTTAGTGCTAAAATCTAAAGTACTATTGACAAATACATACCTACATACATACATACATATGTACATAAGAATACATCACATGCATTTCGGTGATCAATAAAAACATTTCCACTTTTCGTTAAATATTGCACTCGAATGATATATATATATTCATATGTATGTACATATGTACATAGTTTACAGCGATTCGTGTTGGTAAAGTGTTAAAGAAGTATCGTGTTATATCAATTAACGCCTTAAAAGATAAAAGTTACAAGGCGAGTCAAACGCAACAAAAAAACGAAGAATTTCTAACAAAACGTTATTTCTGCTAATGGAAAAAGTCAATATAAAACCCAAATAAGAAAAAAATTAAAACAATAATAATAATAATAAAGAGCGCTAAATTTTAAGAGTCTAAAAAAATATTTGATTGTAGTAAAATTTATTGAGAGAAAGCAGGTGAGTGCAATTTGGATACACATGACAGTTGGTGCGTTGTACATATCCACACACATCTTTATGTACATATGTATGTACAGCTGTAAGTATTATGATTTGGGGCGAATTACTCACGCTTTTTCCCATGCTTTGATGACGTAACAGAGCACAATGTTTTTTGATAACAAATGCCGAAATGTTTCACTAATATGACAGGGATACTTGTTCGGCTATAAATTACCGATATACAAGCGTGCACAAGGTGAAATTCGCCTGATTGACATTTGTTAATGAAAATGTTGAAAAATCGAAAAAATGTATGTACATACTCGTATGTATGTATATAGATATATCTCCGCATTTGGTTTTGTCTATGCTATGATAAAAATGAGGTTCAAGTAAAATGTGAAGTTCTAACTAATTTTCGACATACCCTGCGGGATATTTGAAACAGTGATTGCTGAACGAATTTTATTTTTCTAACCAACTAAACCAAAAATTGCAAACGGCTGGCTGTTATTAGGTGACTCAGGGAACCGAGTTCTGCTCATGAAAATGCTCAAATCCATAAGCAATGACGAATCCGTTAAGCTTTTGTTTTTCGTCATTATAATAATGAATATTGGCGCTGATGTTTTATCTCCTTCACTTGGTTTTTCAAACCGAAAATGGCGCTCTTCCTTTCCGACATTTTGAATTATGATACTTTTTATTAGTTTCAAAATCAAATGAAAGTATAAATCTACTATACAAGTACAATAGGGTTTGCTATACCTTTTTTTCGAAGTTTATTCAGCTTGAAACTTCTGTGCCCAAAAATATATATATTTCCAAAGACTCTATTAGTCGTCTTTAATAGCTTCGAGAATCATTTTTTAATCAAAGTGGTTTATCTAAATTTTCAACCATGTCTCAGCTAACATAACCCAAGGCTTAAGATTCAAACGTTGTTGAATACTTGACCACACCTCCGAGTTGCATATTTTCTAATTGCCAGCTCTTTTTTATTATCTCTTTAAAATCGTCAAAGAATAAAACCAGAGAGGTTTTCAAGACCTTCTATGGTACAATCCTTATATATGTATGCCTTCCTTGCTTGAAGCAGGTACTGCTTGAGGAGTGTTTGGGAAAATTACGGGCTTTAGGCCTTCCGACAGAGAAAATTGCTAGCAGCTGTAGACAATTCTGAGAAAAAAACATTATTTATATACAAATTTTCCAGATGTCACATTTGTGAAATTTGTTTTATTGCAATTTTTAATACATTTGTTAATGTCTAACTGTACATATATATGAGTGTATATATGTAGGATGCACAGAGGCAATTACGTGCATTCACCTGTCCATTTTGCTTATAGACTTTCTACGACCGCTCAACGAAAAATTGCTTTCGGCGGCTTTATTTCAAATTTTATCAGATAATTGTGTTTGTGTATATGCATGTGAATGTGGCTGAGTTAGCAAAGTTGTCGCACCGCTAACTTTGTACTACACAAATCTTTTAGATTTCCTGTACTCGTACATGAGCTATAAATACACGGTATGAGCAAATTCAAAGTGTCCGCATGACTACCTCACTTGTGTACACACAATGGAATAGTCATACTGGCAATGAAGGAATTCATTATCCACAATTAAGGCCCAAAGTTCCGATAAAATTTATGAAATTTAAAAAATTCCATTTAATGTTTTTATTTTGTTTTTATATTATTTTTGTTTTGTTAATTGACTGATATAGTTTCATTAAAACTATTTATAACGTTCATTATAAATTTCATATGCATACGATATTTTCTTTTTATAGCTGCTAACAACCAAACCACAAAATGTTGAAATTTTTTTATGTTATCAAAAATACCAGCAGATTACTTTGCATCTGAAAAGGTTCCATTTTAAAAAGTTAGATTTCTATTCACTTTGGCTATATTAGTATTTAAACAATGTATTTATTTTTCAGAAAAAATGTTTGCTTTGTGGTACTTATCGTTTGCCATCGATGAAATAAGGTGAGTAACGGAAATCAATATCTAATCTAAAATTAAATTTCTCGAAATATTTTATTTCCTGCATGCATTTGCACGAAGGATCGTCTTCGATTTTTATACCAAGAAAAAATTCGTTGACAAATGTTTTTTGTCTATTAAAAAGTACTGCGCATTCAAAAATGATTTAGCGTGAATTTTATTTAATAGCAATATTCGAACTTATGTATAGGTATACATATTTATAGAAAAATAGATTTTACAACTTTTAAATATTAATTGCATACTTTTAGGCTATGTCTACCACAAATTCAGATTTGTTCTATATCAAAAAAGCTTACGTTGCGCTTTTGTGAATAAGCTTTAGAGCTTTGAGTGTGTTCTTGTGTTGCCATATTCTTTCAATAATATATCAAAATATTTGGTCTGCCTTAAAAAATATATAATTAATAATAAATATTCAAATAATTTATTTTGTTTAGATATTTGTTTGCCATTTTTCGCATTTTTAAATTTTTAAAGTGGCAAACAAGACATAACCGAAAAGGGGAAGATTGGAGCTTATATCAATGGTTCTGAACAGCGGACAGACAGATAGATAGATACACATAAATAAATTGCGAGGTCATTCTTATAATTTATCAGATATCTATCTCGATTTTCATGGTGTCACAAACGACCGTTATGTGAACTCTGAGCAAATTATTGATGCAAAATAAATCAAAATCTGATGAATATCATTGACCATCTTCCATAAAACTATGTGATTTCTGTCACTTCTTTTTTAACCCTGAACAGGGTATATTAAGCTTGCCACGCCTTTTGTAACACCCAGAAGAAAACATCGGAGACGCTACAAAATGTACATATACATATGTACATATATTATATAAATGATGAGCGTGACAAGTTGAGTCGCTTTAGCCAGTCTGACTGTTCTTACTGTTATACTGTGACTATATACTAGTCCCTCAGTTTTTGAGATATCGATGTGGAATTTTTCACACAATCTTTACTCCCCAATATCGGACTATTAAAGCATATAAGTAGCTGCCATTCAAACTTTTGTAAGAAAACATGAGCCTGTGGAGGGTATAAAGCTTCGGTGCAGTCGAAATTAATGTTTATTCTTGTTTGTTGTAAATTTTCCGCAAATGTCAGCAGTACTTAACCTGTCATAAAGAATTTATATTAACATCGAGATATGACCATTATTTGTCTCTATAACGGAGTGGCGATAACTCATTTAAGTATATGTATGCACATATGTATGTATGTATGTATATAAATATTAATCACAGCAAATATAATCTTCGTATTTGCACCGAAGCAAAGCATTACATAAGCACACCTACTCTCCAAAGTAACAATTTGCACTGTTATCCATAGAATCATTTAACCGTTATGTAACCTGCCCCAATGGCTTAACCAGCACAATTGTTTGCAATAGCTACATACATACGTATGTGTGTTTATACATTCTTGTGTATTTAAATTCACAAAGCATAAACATAAATAAGTGCAAACGTTTCAATTTTTTTATTACACATATATGTGCATACAAACATGATTGTACATACATACATATGTACAAGTATATGCCATTTGCATGTATGACTGTGTACCATAAGAATACAATCATCTACGCCGATCGCTGATTTACAGAGTCGTAATCGTTGATAGGCCCAAGTCTGCACCGGAAAAATTCCCCTGTACACCACCGTTGTCACGTACGCGATTCGTTGCTTGGCCAAAAGAACGAAGAAGAAGAAAATAGGAAACAAAAATAACTTTTTTGCAAATTTTAAAAAGTTGACGTGAAATTTCTTTCATTTAATATTCCCTTGTCACCGCCGTTATCTTCAATTCAATTAACACTTTTATTAATGACAAATAATTCCTAAACATAATTTAACAAATTTTGTTACTGTGCTAATTTGTTATACTCAACAATGGCTCTATAATTACTTATGTGCGCTTGTATGTGTAAACGAATAAAGAACACTGCATACACCTAGTGCAACCCAATTAACAAAAACTGATCAAATCGGTTGTAAAGAGTCCAGAATTTTGCTGGTGTTTGTTGATGACAATCTCTTCAACGTTCCAAGCGATTCGATTGAAATATTGGTTCCACGATAATGATAGTTCGGAACTCGAAAGATGCGCTGATTCATTGATTTTTATAATTTTTTACCCCGAAGAGGGTACATTAAGTTCGCCACGAAATTTGTGAGACCCAGAAGGAAACGTCGTAGACGTGACAAGCTGAGTCGCCTGTTTGTATATACAAGAAATAGTCTCTCAGTTATTGATCGACTTGAAAATTTGCACACGTCACTTTTTCCCAAGAAGCTGCTCATTTGTCGGAACTGACAATATCAATTGTAGCATATAGCTGCCAGACCAATCCAAATCAAGTTCTTGTATGAAAAACTTTTTTATTTAAAAAATATCTTCACGA